TTACGATCGTAGCGTCGGTATATGGATTCACCATCATAGCCAACCAACACCACGGGCTTCGAGTGATCATCAAACTTGTTATCATATTTGATCAACATTTCACCGACAGATCCGCCGATATCCATATGGATATATTCACCAGCTTTATCGTGCTTTTTGCTCAATACCGATGGATGACATGATTCGATCAATTTACCATTACAACATGATCTACAAAATCCCATGTCATTGTTCAACTTTGTCGGTAGTCCACCAACCAACGATTTGTTCGCCATCGATAAAATTGTTCTGGCATCAACATGATTATGTTTTCGTGCCGCACGGCCAAACTTTCACCAATAGCCATCATGGTTACTCGTTTCTTCGGTATTCGGGCACGGACCTCGTACACATTTGTATATTTCTGTGAACGATCAGCATAAATCAATGGTTTGCCATCTCGATAAATAACCGTACAGTTAAAATCGCCACCAAAATGTATATTTCGATGTTTCGATAATTGACCCAGTGATATCATGTTCATTGGCGATGTTTCAATCAATAACGAATTCGTTAATTCAACAGTCGTCCAATTTTCGCCATCATGAAGTTCCACTTCGACTGACCCAATACCGGACGCTTGGCTGATGCCACCAGGAGATGCGATTTCACCCCCATTATATGGTTCGATATCAGTAAAATATTTCCGATCATTAAACGTATGCACACTAGCACCACCATCGGCAAATATTTCACAGAATTGGTAGTCGTCGTCGTACGATGGTTTCGGCATCACTTTCGGTCTATCCGCTATACCAGCTTTTGACAAGGCCATCAATGTCACCTTCGGCTTTGAATCATTCGACTCATTCGAATCTTTTAACAACGGACAATTCTTTCGAATATGACCTTCTTTGTGACATTCGTAGCACCGGAAATTTTTCTTCCGTCTAGCCATGGCCAACATGTTTTTGGTCTCGGACTCTCTTTTGATCTCAATCTCTTTCTTTTCACCAGCCTCAGCCGTCATCGACCCGGTTACAAATTGTTCCAGCTGATTGAATGTCATACGTGTGCCAGAACTCAAGCGTATAGCTTCGATACTATTCTTTATTGATTCAAACTTTGGCGGAAGAATGGACAATACTTTTGAACATTTTTCACCATCCGTCAATTCCTTGCCCTTGGTAAGCAATTCTGAAGCAACCGACCGTATTTTCCGAAAAGTATCTTTGGCACAATCAGACCACGTAATCGAATAAAACTTCAGCATCAAATTGTCGAGTTCAGCTGATGACGATCCTTGATGATACTCTTTCAATGCTTTATAGATTTCTTTTGCTGTTTTGCAACCGATAATTCTGTCATGATTATCATCATCCAAGGAACTGTACAGTAAATTCTTGGCCGCATACATTTCTTTATCTTGGCTTTTGTCATCATACTTTTCTTCAACGTATTTCCAGAGATCGAGACTCCGAAGAGCTGATTCAATTTCGACATTCCAGCGTTGAAACGACGAATCGGTGAGCACAGTGATTTTCGGTGTAGCAGAATGGCATGAAGGACCCATAACCTGTTGTTTATTTGATGCACTTCGAATAACGATCACAATTTAGTAATAATGAAATAGTTTATTAATAATGAAGAAAATAATGAAGATAACAATAATGAATCGATAGATGAAAGATAAATCACAACATAAGCATAATACAATTAAGACAAGATGGAGAGATCAATCGAGAGCACAAAATCAATAAAGCCAAGAACGATTTGTCTAGTTGAGCTAGTTATTTTATATCTAAAGACATATCCACGCACAGGCGCACAGACAGTTCATCGTATGATCAACGTTCAACGATTTACATGGTCGATGACTAAAATGTCAACAAGTAATAATTTTGTTCATTTAATGATGATGATGATGATGATACCAGCATCTATATCATTAATTCACTATAATTGATCCAAATGATGATCATAAAGGAAATTTTGGTTTTGTTGTATTTCTTTCAATCACAATCTCTAGCTCAATCATTCATACCTTAAGGCTGTTTATATATATAATAAACTACGATGTTCCATAACATCGTAATGATCGTATATCGATAATACGTTCGCAGTCATGATTGGGAATCGGACACTATTGAAATATTTGTGGATAAAATAAAGCTTTATTGATCAAGTATACGCAGATCATAGATCCCAGATACTCGATGGATAATGATAATTTTGGGATGGGTTTATATACTAGATTACAATCAATTAGAAACATTAATTAGGTTATAACATTCATTAAATCAAAGTCGAACATTCCATTTAAAATATTCAAACATCACAACTTTGATCATTAACATTCCAAAACAATCATGTTTTGGATTTTAAATATTACATCCCCTCGCTCAAGAGAATGCTTCGGCCAATTCGGGTGTGGTTGGTATTTCCGCTATTTGGCTCCGTTGTCATAACAGCAATGATGTTTCCGGCAAATCGACAATAACCAGGTACTTTGGAAATATTGCACGGATAGGGATTGAACAGGTTGATACTTTTTGGGGACTTCGGTTGATTCAGCAATTTTGAACGGACGACCCAGAGAAAATTACAATTCGAACAAATTTTATCATTTTTTTCATTTTAAACAATCCTTTCAATACGAGTTGAATCTTCTTCATTACATTACAATAAATCATCATATTTGTTTCATTTTTCACATAATTTTTATACAACTTTTTGACCAAATTTTTCTCGATGCAATTAACGAAACATTTTCATAAAAACCAAAAAAAACAAAATAAAAACAATATCACCAACAATCAGCTAGAGGTGCATTTTGCCCAACCTCTCTATATAGCCCGGATTGAAGGTGTCCATAAAAAATATCACGAACAATCACCATAGATTGAACGTGTCCATAAAAAATATCACGAACAATCACCATAGATTGAACGTGTCAATAAGAACGTTGAAAATTTTCGTAATTGCCTTTAAAATCTTCAATAAAATTGTTGCATCAATTTCACATTATTACAAAACAAAAATTCTTCTTTTTATAACTTCATGATTCATTTTCTCGTCATATTGATTGCTTCTTGAAAAACTTTGATTTTGGTCGGTATTCGACCCTCGTTAATATCACTCATATTTTCTCTGGGTTCCGGGTGGAACTGTTGAAACGAACAAATTTCGATAATCTTCTTGAGCCAAACATTTAACCAATTTCTGGATTTTGAAATCCATTTCCCATTGGAGATCTTGCACAAATAACTTTGATCTTGCTGGCTTATAATAAACTACGATGTTCCATAACATCGTAATGATCGTATATCGATAATACGTTCGCAGTCATGATTGGGAATCGGACACTATTGAAATATTTGTGGATAAAATAAAGCTTTATTGATCAAGTATACGCAGATCATAGATCCCAGATACTCGATGGATAATGATAATTTTGGGATGGGTTTATATACTAGATTACAATCAATTAGAAACATTAATTAGGTTATAACATTCATTAAATCAAAGTCGAACATTCCATTTAAAATATTCAAACATCACAACTTTGATCATTAACATTCCAAAACAATCATGTTTTGGATTTCCAACGTTACATATATATATATGTTTTTGCAATTTTACTAAAGATTTTCTTATTTCATATTATATTATTATTATTGTTTTCTCTGTAAAATGCCTATTATTGTGTGTGTGAACGAATTTGTTTGGATGTGAAAATGTTGATTTTTTATAATAGAATTCATAAAAATGGTCATGGAAATCTTCCAGCAACGAAAAAAAAACCAGACGAATAACGAAAAAAAAAATAAATCCAAATGGTCTCTATATCGAATGAATCGTGATTCTCTCTCTCTCTCTTCACTTATTATTAATAGAACCAATTAATAATTTTTGTTTGATTTGTCATCATAATTTTTTTTTTTTTTTTTTTTTTTTGGTTTAGTATTTGCCCGCTAGAAAAGTTGTTTTTCGATTTTTTTTTTATTCTGATTGTTGTTATTATTACCATTATATTTCTAATATATATTCATTCGCTCGGTGTGATGATAATAATAATGATGATGATAAGTCAATTATCGGCTATCATCTTTTGCGTTTTTCTATATTTTTATCCTGATTCTGGTTATTATTTTACAAACTTTCAATCGATCGTTGGCTAAAGGAATTTTTTAGCTTTGATCCGATTTCTTGAAAAGATTTTCTCGTTCTCAAAATTCTTATTTATGAATATCTTCATCATCATCATCATCATCATCATCAGTAGCAGCCATCGGCCAAGATTCATTGAATTGCCTTTGTGGATTTGTTTTTCATTTGATTTTTTTTTTATATTCATTTCGTGCATTTCTTATGAACACACACACAGACACACACACACACTTTACTGATGAAATCGGATTTTATTTTGTTTTGTGAAAAAACCAAGCAGCCAAATTTTTGTTGTTTTTTTTTTGTTTTTAGTTGAATATAGAATAGAATTTTCTCTATGTTCATTGGAATCTCTATGTTTCAAGTTTTCTTTATTCATTTTTATTGTTAAATGTTTCGTTTGTTGTACATTTGAACTTTGTGTTTGGTGTTGGGTGGGTGGCTGTCTGATTGAAACAATTTTATCCAAGTTTTTTTCATGTTGAAATTTGTGAGTAACAAAATTTTGAATGTGCAAATCATCAAATCATCATCATCATCTCGTTTGTTGAATGACGAAATTTTTCGCACTCTTTAGGAATCAAATTCTTTTCCATGAAATAAAGACTGGTTCGAATGTTATGTAAGCGAAATAATAAATACAGAACGTGGATGAAAAATTTAATTTTGTATTCTTTGAGCGAAGGAAAAAACAGCCAAGGCGATTAAATCCAATGAAATGATGAAATGATGATGAATGAGAATGGAAAAAAAATATTTTATTGACATTTCTGGGAAAATTTCTTTTCATTGAATAATATTTTTATTTCCTAGAAAAATTACAATCTTAATTTTGCTCTAATTAATTGATGATAAAATATATTATTATTATAAAGGCTGTTGGCTAATCATCATCTCTCTTATCATTAATTTATTGGTAACATGTTGAACAAATTTTAAAATGTGAGCAATGTTTTCATTTGCATGATCAACTAATTATGGCTGATGAACAAAAACGTTTGAAAATTCTATTCCATTCAATCGAATCGATTGGCCATATAAATGCCTGTATTGGACTTGGTCAAGCATTAACTGAAAATGGACATTATTGTATTTATTTTACTCGAACTAAATATGCTGGAAATTATTCGAAATTTGGTTTCAAAGAATTACTACTCATTACTAAAGATGATGATGAAAAGTCCGAAAATAACAAAACAAATCATCCAAGTGCCAATGACGAATGGATTATTCAACATATGATCACTTCAGGTGTTCTATCATCACGATCATCATTGGAAAAATTAGATCTTTATGATCGCCATAAAACTGAAGATTATTATGTAAAAAATTTGGCTATCAATATGATCAAATTGCATGATCAGATCGCTCGAATGATCGACGAAGAAAAACCTGATTTAATTATTGTCGACCATATGCTTGTTGCACCATGTATTGCATACGGAAAAATTCCCTGGGCTTTTCAATGGAGTTCCAATCCAATTCCGTTGTATCGATCAAAAGAACTTCCACCACCTTTTTCTGGTTCGTTTGTCTTTTGTTATTGTTTATTTTTGATGATTAATTGAGAATATTGTTTAAATTCGAAGGATATCCAATCGACGACCGTAGTGAATGGACCGAATTTGTTAAAATTTATGAAACTTCAACTAAACCAAGTCTTCAATATTATCAGAACTTGTTGAATCACGAATGTGGCTATCCAGAAACAGTTGATCCCGAACAATTTCTATTTCTATCACCATATTTTAATATTTATGGTTTTCCATTGGAATTGGATTATATGGATATCGTAAAATTGCCAGATAATTTTATTCGATTAGATGCATTTTGTCGATATGAAATCGAACAATTTGAATTTCCCGATGAATTTCGTAGTAAAATTCAACCTAAAGATAAACTAATTTATCTATCACTAGGTTCGCTTGGAAGTTGTCATGTTGAATTGATGAATCGATTGATAAATGAATTGTCACGAGCTGTACATACAAAATGTATTGTTTCAATGGGACCATTACATGAACGAATTCAGTTGGCTGACAATATGTGGGGCAAACCTTATCTACCGCAACCAAAAATTTTACCATTAGTCGATTTGGTCATCACACATGGTGGTAATAATACAATTACTGAAACTTGTATGGCTGGAAAACCAATGATTGTCATTCCATTGTTTGTCGATCAATATGATAATGCACAACGTATCCAGGACAAAGGCTATGGATATCGATTAGATCAAAATCAATCGAACGAAACCGAATTGTTAACAATGATTGCAGCCATTTTCAGTGATTATCAAATGCAAAAACGTTGTACACTAATTAGTGAACGTTTACGGTGTTCAAAATCGAAACAAAAAAAAGCTTGTGAAAAAATTGAACAATTTGTAATGCAATTCAAATCAGAATGATAGTTTTATCATATCAATGATAATGATAACTATTTTCTTGGATAAAACTTTTTGATACATGTTTCACTTCTCAACGAGTAACATGCAATTCATCAATGTCGTTTTGTTTTGGTTTTGTTTATTGTTGACATGTCAATATGAAAATTTTATTCAATCCATGTGATGGTCTTGGCCATATGAATGCTTGTATTGGCCTTGGCCAGTCATTACTTTCACGTGGTCATCAAATCTATTTTTTTACAAATGTAAAATATGCTGGTCAATATAATCGTTATGGATTCAAAGAATTTGTTCTCCATGTTCAATCGAATTCAACAACGAATACTAATGGATCTGATGATGATCATCCGATCAAGAATAATAAATTGATGGATGTGATTATTAATTCCGGTCTATTGTCCGATATGTCACCATTGGAAAAATTAGATCTTTATGATCGACATAAGAATCCAGATATGTTTACTAGAACAATGTCCGAACAAATTCTTAATGTTCATGAACAAATGTTGAACATCATTGATGAATTGAAACCGGATTTAATTATAGTCGATTCAATGATAGTTGCACCATGTATCCTCTATGGATCATATCGATGGGCATTCTCTTGGAGTGCCAATCCGATTTTAATTTATCAATCGGATCAATTACCGCCAATGATGTCCGGTAAGAATCGTAATGTTATTTTGTAGCTATTGTGATTGATAATTATCATTTTTGTTTATCCATCCAGGCTATCCATCCAATGATTCGAATGGATGGTCAGAGTTTCGTATAAAATTCAACAAAACATTTAAATCTGCCATACGATACTATCAAAATTGGTTGAACCAACAACTTGGATATGCTAGAATAATTGATAATTCTAATAATAATTTATCATTTCTTTCTCCATATCTTAACATTTATGGCTATCCAGAAGAGCTTGATTATACAGATGTGGCAAGTTTACCTGATCATTTTATTCGAATTGAAGCATTTTGTCGACAAATACCTGCAGATTCATCTTTTGAGTTGCCAGAAGAATTTCAGCGAGCCAGATTAAAATCAAATGTTCGATTGATTTATGTATCACTGGGTTCATTCGGCAGTGCTAATGTTGAACTAATGCAACATCTAATCGCTGCTTTAGATAAATCACCACATAAATTTATCATATCGACCGGATTACATCATCAACAAATTCATCTTGAATCAAATATGTGGGGTCGACCATATTTACCACAAACACAGATTCTTTCATTAGTCGATTTAGTCATTACACACGGTGGTAATAATACGGTTACAGAAACATTTTCAGCCGGTAAACCAATGCTTATAATGCCATTATATACTGATCAATATGATAATGCACAACGTATAGAAGAAAGAGGCTATGGCCGCCGTATCGATGCTTATCATTTTACGTCGAATGAAATTAATGCCATGATTGACCAAATACTTGATGATCATGAAATGCGAAAACGTTGTGAACGAACACGGGATCGTATTCATTGTTCACAATCAAAACTTAAACTTTGTGAAAGAATTGAAAAATTATGCCTATGAAAAAAAGATTTAAACTTTTATTGTACAGAGAATAAATAATCACACAACGTATCAAATACACAAACACACTGATTGTGGAAAATAAAACTTTTTGTATTCGACCTGTGTGGAACTAAACATATAGATCCTATAGATTAACACATTGGCTACACAAAGAATTGTTTTTACAAGTTTCTCTTTCATTGAAATGAAATTCATTGTTTCAAAAAAAAAACTTTGAAACATTGAATCAATGATGATGACACTATTGCCGTTAATCTTATGGATGGGCAGGTCTTTGTTTGTCAATATACACTATATGTTCATAGCATCATATAAAAGTTTCATACAAAAAAAAATTTCATTAATTAATCAATGTTTTCGTTTTATTTCAACTTTTTACTGTTTACTTGTGTGTTTCAAAACTCAATGTAAGTTGTTTTGTTTTTTTTGGATGATTTCTTACATTCAACCATGACCGATATTCTCTCTAAACGTAAAAAAAAAAATTTTAAACTGATCAAACAACATACATTTTTTACAATCAACATCAGAAAAAAAATCTTTAGTCTGGTTGTTTTTTTTTCTAAAGATTCTGACAGAATCTATCTTGTTCAATCAAATTTTGTTTGTGCGTTTAATGGTCGTGAGAATAACGATTGCAGAATTTCTCCTTATTGTCTGTGTGTGCATGAACTTGATCTTTAGCTATTCATTGTTGTTGTTGTTGTTGTTTGTTTGTTTGTTGATCGAAAGAAACGTATTTTCCATTCAATTTGAATCAATTTTACATCGTTTTGTTATTTTTGATTTTTCACTTTTAAATTCTCTTCATTCATTCTATCCTTGGGCTCTATGTTTACTTGTTTAAAAAATTTTTTTTTTGTGGTAGTAGCAACAACAAAAAAGTTTGATGTTTTCAAATAACAATCATTATCATCATCATCATCATAATCAGGATATAACCTAAACACATAAAAAAAACTTTACTACACACACACACACACACACACACACAACCTATTCATCCCGTTTTGTTTCTCATAATAAATTTTAGTTTAGCCCTGATTGTATTTATAAACTTTGTTCCGTTGTTTTCTTTTTCATTTCTTTTGTTAAAACACCATTAAAACATAACAACAACACTGGAAAATCTCAAATTCTGTTTAAACAATACCGACAGCAGTAACAACAATGAGAAAAAAAATAACCATGGTGTGCGTGTGTGAAAAGAAAGTGAGAAGAAGAAGAAAAAAAATTCAATTAAACTAAAAAAAAACCCGACCGAAAAACTTCAATCAAAATATTTCTACGTCCCACACACACACACATATACCAACATTTTCTCCATATAAAATGGATATATTTATTCAATTCATGTAATCAACACTGAAAGTGAATACTAAAAAAAAAAAAAAAAAATTACGAAATTCCTGAAAATAACTCATTCATTCATTTCATTACACCATACATACATACATACATCACCATGATAGTTTGATGAATGAAAAATGTAAATCAAATGTAAGTGATTCAGATTTACTTTTTTCTTTTCGTTTCGTGTTTATTTTGAACAATTCAAACGGATTATAACCTCAATTGTATGGTTTGTTGTGGTTTTGTTTTTGATTTGATGATGATGATGTTGATGAAATTGGTGATGATATTTTCTATTTTTCATATTCTTCATTTATGATTATATTCTTTCTATGTTGTTTGTGTTTGAATTTTTAAAAAAAAAACATATAAATAACTGATGAAGCAATGTATAGAAAATAAAATAAAAAATGAAAACATCCAATGAGATAAGAGAGAGAAAGAGAGAGCTAAAAATCAAATAAAATGAAATGTGAAGAAAAAAATTGCCTGGATGGATATAGATTGTTTTATGACCGAGAAAAAAAAACACCATTATTGTTGGAAAATAATACAATTTTAAAAATGGAAAAAAGAAATAAATACAAAACAAAACAAAAACAAAAAAAATTTCATTTTCAAAATTTTCATTTTTTTCCCATTTTATTTCTATGTGTATATGTTGTTTGTATCTGTTTTTTTTTCATCATCATCATCATTTGAAAATTGTCGTTCATTCGTCTTTGCTGTTTTGTTTTATTTTGTTTTGTTTGTGCTGTGTGTGTGTGTGTTGCTGGAACATTTTTGCATTTTTCACTTTATTGCCATTAATAATAATATAATAAATACATTTACAGGCAAATAATGTTCCTTATTTTTTTTTTGTTCGGGAAAAAAAAATAAATTTTTAGTTTTGAAAATAAATCAAAACACCGTTGGTCATGCATGCATGAATGAAATGCAAAAAAAAAACCGATGTGAAAATGGTTATCCGGATCGTTGAAAATGTTATTTTGAAACAAAAAAAATTTCTTAGCGACATCTATTGATTTAGATCAGAATTATTAATATTTGTTTCATATTTAATTCATTTCTTTTGTTTTTTTTACTTTCAAACAACAATTGTAGGCATCAAACTTAAATCTGAAACGAACAATAATTTATATCAAAGAAGAATCGGTAAGTTCAATTTTTTTTTGTCTGATTTTATTAGTAAAACAGTCAATCATCGACCAAAATATAGTATTACCAATTATATTTGATTATCAATTTTTACCCTGAAATTGTGTCGCCATCTTTCGATCGAGATTCGAAAAAAGTGTTGATATAAAAAAAAGTTTTCTAAATTCTTTGAATCAAATTACAAACACAAAATTCACACTAAAATTTTAGTTTGATATATCCAAAAATTTGTAGGGAATGAAATCATCAATCAAGCATATATGTATGTGTGTTTGTTGTGCAAGTGTTATATTTATCGTTAGCAGCCAGATTAACCAAAAAAAATGACAATTTAATTATGGTCATGAATATTATACCACACACACATAAAAAAGTTAATCATTATGCGTACGTTTTTTTTCATCAGAAACTTTCATTTTTCAGAAAAAAACATATGGATCCAAAAAAGGTCAAAAAAAAATAGGAAAACAGTTTGAATAATTAATAAACAAGTGAAGAGAGAGAGAGAGAGAAAGAGTTTCTCGTTTCATTTTTATTCTTTATTGATTCATATTCAACTGCTATAATACTACATTGCCAATGTTCAATGATGTAATGAATGCAAACAACAACATTCTTTGTGTATTCTAATTTTATTTATTATTCCCATTTATTGCAATTTAGATGATGATGATGATGATGATAGAAAACAGTGAAACAATTAGGAATTGAATTATAATATTTGAAGAAGAATAGTACACCCAAAATTCTGACGATGATGATGATGATGACAGTAAGATGCTAAAAAAAATTGTTGATGACTATGATCATTCATTGATGAATAGCAGAAACCATTTTTCAATGAAAATTCTTCATCATTCTTTATTTCTAATGAATAAAAGGCGGGAATTTTTGACTGTTGCATTTTTCTTGGTTTTGTTTTGGAGGTTTTTGCAAAGAAGAACCATCTAGTAGCATCATCAAAACACACACAGAAAAAGTTCAACAACGCGAATATTCAATCAAATTCTTCTATATATTATTTTCACTGTCTATCTGTGTCTACTGTGGACCAAAATTGATGCCATTAACAATGCGACCGTTAAAAAAAAAGTTATGCGCAAACTTTTTCTATTCACTATGGTCTCTTGAAAAGTTTCTTTTTTTGTTTTGTTTTTTCCATTTGCTTTATGGAATAGCATAGTATTGTCGAGGATGATGATGTTTAAACACTATTCTAGATACCGACAGTTGTGACAGTTGAACAATAACACTTGATTCTTTCGGTACATTCAATCCGTTATTTTTGAAAGAATCAAAATTCATTTCACACACACACACAACCATACACAATATGCTTACGATTTTTTTGGTGATCCATTGATCTGATTGTTAACATCATCAAAAAAAAAAAAAAAAAAAATTCTTAAATTCCGTAATGGTCAACATACAAGAAATAAAAAAAAAATTTATCAAATTTCTTAACTTTAAAAAAATTTTTTTACTTTGATTAATGCATTCTCATTTACATTGTGTTTTGTGTTCATAAAAAAAATCCAGTATATGTGTGTTGTCGTGTTGATCATCAACATTGTTGTTTGATTGTTTTTGAAAACCAAAAAAAAAAAATTTGAAATTCAAAATCATATCATCTTCATATATAAAAAGAATGATTTAGAAAAAAAAAAAAAATACAATCACACCATGGCATTATATTTATGAAAAAAAATGTGTAAGAGAATAATTCGACCAACCGTATTTCATATAATGCCAAAGGCTATCATTGTTGTTGATGATGATGAATCAAAATCAACATCAACATCAACATTAACATCATCGATCATATCAAAATTCATTGGCCATAATGTGATAATGTTATTGAATGAAATGGTTAGCCAATTTATATTGGTGAATTTATATTCATCATCAACAGGAAAAATACTGCCATCAATGCCATCATTACGACAAATCATTCATCAACTGGCCTCTGGCCATTACCGTCATTATAATCATAATCAACTGAATATATTTTCTACAATTCATTATCATATTATTTTGCCATTTTTGCTTTATATTTTATTATTGATCCAAATTCAGATTCCATCTACCGAACCGATGTGGATTATTGGTGAGCACATATATTCATATCCTAAAAATAAACTACGAATGACAGAAAAAAAATTATTATTCTTTGCATTTTATTCCAAAATATAATATTCCTGTTTAATTTCTGTAGAATGTTTGACAAAAATAAAATGGGAAAATTTTCATCATTTGTTTCCACAATGATAAAAATCTATAGGGGCTATGTAAATAGCCTATTCGGGTAATCATTAATGTTTCTCACCAGAAAAAAAAGAACGACATTCATTTCAATGAATAACGAAAAAAAACGTAGACACTGAATAGCAAAAAAAAAAATTAATATTAGCCAACCCGTAATGAATGAACTTTTCATGAGTTTTGAGTTTTCGTGTTTTTTTTTGCCACAGAAATGATGCTGAATCAGTAATGAGAGAGAGATGGATGGATGGATAGAGAGATGAATAAAGCTGGTTAGATAGAGTTTAGACAGATATAGACAGATAGTGTTTGAAATCGTCATACCGAATCCAATTATAATACCTAAAAGTTGCTTTTGAAATGAAATCAAGTTAATCAGATACACATCATTGTGAAAACCACAAAAAAACGTGTACCGAAACATTTTTTTTCTCTCTGATATTTCGTTTATATTAGTAGCTAACGGTAGTGAATCTTATTATTATTCTTTGTTAACATTCAAATGAACTGATCTTCATCATCATCATCTGGTTTTTCGTATCAGGTCTTTCAATTTCCGAAAGTAAAAAAAAAAAAATTTAACTTATGAATATTTTGTGAATAACGACGACGACGAGGACGACGACGGTGAATGAATGAATCGAATGGGAAAAAAAACTAGAAATTAGAAAATGAAATTTTCGATTGTGAAAAAACCAGTGGGGTATAAAATAATGATATTAATGAGTTTTTCAACAAAAAAATCCAATTTTTCTTTTGCCAGTTAATCAGAACAATAATTTCAAATTCTAACCTTGTTTTGGCTTTTTGAATTTTTGAATTTTTTTTTGTTGATTCGAGTGTTTGAAACATCATCATCATCAACAACGACAACAACAACACTTTGGGACAAAATTGTTGTTGTTCACAAACTTTTTTTTTAAACCGCGTTTTTTTCTCTTCTTTCTTGATTGTTGTTTTTGTCTTTTTTTTTAAAGAGTTTTCGTCGAAAAACTCTTTCGTTTGTCAATCTTGAAAATCGTCGTTGAAATTTCTTTTTTTTTTTACTTTCCCATTTGAGAAAACACAACGTTAATTATAATAGAGAATATACAGCTGGAATTGGAATAGTGATGCTTGGGCCAGATTCTTAAACCATACAAAATGTTGTATTCCTTATTTGTTTATGTATGTGGTTTTTTTGTTGCCATTCATTTCATATCATGGTCATTGTTTTGTTAACATTTATTTGTTTTTCTTTTTCATTTATTATATATCCAACAAACATAAAGTTTTAATAGTTTTCGTTTTCTGATGAAACTTTCGAACACAGAAATAAAAATCCAAAAAAAAAAGAAAAGGGAAAAAAGCTAAAACTCTTTTTTTTATATATACATTCGGCATTACCGAACAGTGAGAAAAACGAAACGAAACGATTCTGTGTGTTGCAAACATTTAAGTCCTAATATATCACAAGGCCTAAAAAACATCTTTTTTTCATTGGAATTATATTATCATTACGTCGAAAAAAAAGAACCATAACAATCAACAAAGATAATGTGTGTGTGTGTGTGTGTGTGTGTGTGTGATCAAGGAAAAAGAAAAAATGAATATAGAAAATTGTAATAAACAAAAATACACATCAACAAACAAGAAATGACCTTATGCATTTGGCCTTGTTTGTGTGTTTGTTTGTTTTTTATTATAAGATTTGACCATCTCTTCAAACACAAATATATCCACTAAGAATCTGGAAGATTATTAAATTGAAACCTGTGTATTTTTTTTTCAATACCACCAACAACATAGGATTGTAATTTGAAGTGATCATTATATATTTATCAATATCAATCTATTTGAATTGACCACAGTATTTTTTTTTCTGTTGTTTGTTATCGGACGACAATAATAATCACAACAAATGATGTTTATACATGATGTACTTATGTGAATGTAAAAAAAAATTTATTGCACCATTTACTGATGATAATCATGATGATGATCATGTTTTTCGATTCAATACATCTTCTTGATTCAAACTTTTTTGGTATTATGATCATTTGATCATCATTCTTGATTTTTCTTTCTTGTTGATAGTGATGGCTATTGATGGCTATTATTGGGTGGTGGGTAAAAATGTTTGTTTGAAAAAATTTTCTCTCGATCATCATCTGATTTTTTCTTCTGACTTTTTTTCTGGTGATGAGGGTTTGATCGAATGTTTTTTTTTCTGTTGTTGGTTTTTAGTGGATGAATTGGTTTGCTATACACTAAGTGGTCACAAGTAACAACAACAACAATATAGACAAACATTATTATCGTTGAAGTAAAGAATGGCCACCAATTTATTGCCCATCATTATTATCCTCATCATCATCGTTATCGAATTGGTTTGAGTCAATATTTGCTGAATATTAGAGAATATTCTTTGTGTCTGTCGGTTTGTATGTATCTAAGTGATCAATCGTTTTTTTTTTTTTCGTTTGATTACCCAAAAAAAAGTGATTTTCAACTTAAGCTAATGCAAACTTTTTTTTGCTTTGTTTGTTTGTACTGTGTTTCAATGTTTTATTGTTACCGATTTTCTTTTCCTGGATTTCATTCTCTTCATATCAATGGCATTTTTTTGCCAACTTCCAATATTGTTTCTAGCAATAGAAATCTGAATATGTGTGTGTATTGAGATTTTGATGACTGAAATTCGGACTGTTTAGCTAGCGCTAGCCTTCATCATTTTGATATTATTCGATTCTTATCGATGATTGTGTTGTGTGAATATTTTTTTTGCTGATATGATTGAATGAAAAAGTGAAATCAAAAGATAAGAAGAATTTATTTCTATTTTATCCAGCCATTATGATAAAGATAAATTCTTCAAGATTCTGAATTTTGAATATTTCTTTGTATGGGAAAAAAATTGATTGAACGTTTTATTCGTTATTTTTCTTACATTTTAGCTCATCAACATCATTGATTGTTGTATTTAGTTTCATGGTAAAATTTTTCTTCATTCATAATAATCACGATCGCTTTCAATACATTCATTCATCTCAATTCCATCAATTCAATTTAATTCATATGTTCATTGTTGAATCCATAAGTGAAACAAAAATAGCAACAGAAAAAAAAATATTCCCAATTCCCGAATGCCTTAAATTAACGAATTGAATATAGCAAGAAAGAGGCAACATTGCGACATAGACATTGGTTAGACACACACACACACACACAATCTTTGTATATTGATCCATATCAATGTTTCATATCTATCGACAAACAAACTTTTATTGAAGATTCACCCATTTTTTTTGTCTTCTTCTACTTGAAGATTATAATTGTCATCATTGATTATTCATTGTTTGAAATAAAATTGTCGCTGTTGTTGTTTCCATTGATTCAATGAAAAATATAGATTGAATGAATAGAGATTTTGTTTGCTTTTTTTTATATACGAAGCTCGTTTTTTATTTTCTTATTTTTTGTTTTGTTTTTTTTTATTGTTGTTGTTGTTTATTTGTTTACTTCCCCAGATTCGATTGTTTCCGAAAAAAAATTGCTCGTTTCCCCGGATAAATTTGATTTTTATTGTTCTTTTTTTTTCGTTTTCTTCCTTCTGACTATATATTATCACCATCATCATTTGAACACAAATAGTAACTATTATAGTCTTGAACTTTGTTACCCGGATTCGTTCGTGGTCGTTTTTTTTGTCTATAATCAATAGAGGTTTTACCCCTTTTTTTCTCCATTCTGATCGGATATCAGTGCCTTGCAAAGTATAAGAAATAATCACAAATTGAATTGAAAATTGTATTCGACGAAAAAATTTGGCTACACATATAATGATGATCTTGTTTAGTTGAATGAAAAACAATCGGAATCGTCTACAAAAAAATAAATAAAAACGAAGGAGGTAAAATTGTTTTTTTTTCGTTTTTCGGCCATATTTCGATTCATCATTTGTCATATGTTCGTGTAACTCTATCGTTTGCTGTTTTTTTTCTTTTGGTTCACTCTGGTTACGTTTTAATAGCAAAAGTAAACTTACCGTTGTGGAGATAATCGAAACTTTGTTGGAAGATCAAAAAAAAAACAGAAAAACCAATAAACAAACAAACAATTCAAACGACAAGAATGATGAAAAAAATAGCAAAAGAAAAAAATTCTACCAGAACAAGAAAAAACTCCAGATGAGGGTCTGTTTTGAAATAAAATATAAAAATAACTTGGTCCCGACTCTGGAGGAAAAGGTTTTCATGAAAAAAAACGGCCCTCACTGATCCATTCATTCATTCATTCATTTCTGGCAGTTGATTCTAACCAAATGATGAACCCTTGTCTCTCTATTCAGACAACAACAAAATAAATGGCAATGAACGAACGAATCTAATCTTTTCGAATCCAAAAAAAGACACACAATTCTCCTCGGTCTGGTTTTGCGATGGTGATGGTGGTTGTGTTGGTGTAAATCGAAAATTATGTCTTTTCCATTTCCATTGCCAAGTGATTTTTTTCTCTTTGTCCTCATACATTCTATCCAAAAAAATCTCATCATTACTAAACCCAATCATCGTTATTGTAACATGAATGTCGGCTATGTATGTGTGTCGGATCTCTTATTGTTTTTTGTTTTGTTTTCTGATTCGATTAAATGTGAAAATCCCAATAATAATATATGATGGTGAAGGGCATTTTTTTGTTTTGTTTCCTAAAGTATCTTTAGGTTTTTGTATAAAAAATATTAGCACACACATACACAGAATTGAATGAATGAGAACAGGCAGACAGACAGACACTTCTGGAATTATTCTGTGTCTATGTGTGTGTGTGTTTGCTAGGATGTAATCAATGCCGATGATGATGATGATGATGATGAAAACTTGAGCCAAAGACAAGCTTCCGTTCACGTCGTATATGCGATTTGATATCATCATCATCAATCCATAAACATCCTTATATCATATTCGGTTTTTTTTGTAACAATTTTAAACAGAATAAAAATCTCGATACAAATGACGATTAATGTTTGTGAGAATCACATTTTTATTGTTTTGCAAAAAAAAACTATACAAACAAAAGCAACCAGAAAGAAAAAATTAGAAAAACTTTTCTTCCACAAATTTGGTATAAAACACATATATATGCGAAACCCAAAAAAATGGAAATAAAAAAAAAATAAATAATGTTTCTACATGAACGAAATCGAGACTGTTGACTTGTCAATGTTTATGTTTCGGGCGTTTCTTTGTATTGCAGGATTTTCGTTTTTCGCATCGCATTCATAAATATTCACACACATACACACACACACCTGGATAAGCAAATATGCAATAATCTAACCTAGCATATAGAATGAACCAAACACACACACACACACACACACACAAACACACATTTCCATCTCAATTGGCCATTTAAAATGTGAATAATAATAAAAACTAATAAGTCGGTAATATTACAATGTTGTTTTGTGGCGCTCATCTATAATAATATATTAGTATATAGTAAGTTTGGTAGAATCCAAAATTGCAATCAACCACCAGCTTATAATAATAATAATAATAATAATAACAAAAATCTGGATTCCTAATAAATAAACAACGTAACGGAAGCATCAAAAATCCCAACAATAGCTCCAAAAAAAAAAGTTATTACATTTACCAAATTATATGATCTCACACACACATACTGTTTTTTTTTGCATATCGTATATTATTATACACATAGCATATTCTTTTTCTATTTAGTGTTGATGGCGTTGATTGATTCATTTTTTCATTTCTTTATTCTTTATTTTTATTTTTTTTTGTTGATTGTTCCCGACAAAAAAAATAAATGAATGAAAACGAAAATAAACATAAAATACAAACATGATTTTTTTTTTTTGGTGAGACCATGTTTTTTTTCATTTTATCTGAGAGAAGATGTATTGACCGGAATGTACTGGGGGTTTTTTTTCTCTTTACTGTTTGCTTGTTTGTTGGTCAACAAAATGTTTATATGTTTTATTCACATTCATTCATTTATTTTATTCATTTGGCTTCAAAAAGAATCTAGAATATTAATACCTGGAAATTTTGTTGATAGAAATGAATGAATGAATGAATGAATTTTCACTTTCCATTGAATGGGTTATTTGTTTTTTTTTCGACATTTACTTTTCTGTTGTTGTTGTTGTTGATGATGATGATGATGATGGTTCTCGATAAACATATGTATTCCATTCCATTCATTTATTTTCATCAACTAAACAACAACAACAACAGCGACAACACTACTGGAATAGGGAAAAAACTGTGAATCAATTTTCATCACATCATTAAATTCGTCAACATTTTTTTTTTCTCACAAAATCAACATCATTTTTTTTGTGATATATGAAAAAAAAGCTTAAGGTCATTTCCATCGAGAATAATAACGAAAGGAATCCATTGAATTTGTGAACAAAAAACTGATTCATTACATTGCATAGTTTTTTTATTCCATTCGATTCAATTTTGTTTTTTATTTTTGATGATGAAAATAATTGCTAATTAATCATTATGCATTGTATAAAAAAAATTCTATGAAAGTGTGTATGTGAAAAAAAATTGGAATTTCCTACAAGTTTTTGAAAATCTATGAACACAAAAAAAAAAAAAAAAAAAAATTTGGTAGAAAAAAATATCATTCCTCCCCCAAAAAAAAAACTAGAATTGCAAAAAAAAAAAATTCGAATTGTCATAATCATCATCAACACAGTCTTAATTATCTCCCATTAAACTGTATTAGGTTTGGGCAAGATTTATGAACTTTTTGAAAAAATCGCAAAAACACACACACACACACACATTTAACCCAGGCGCTAATTCCAAACCATTATTATTGTTTGTCGTTTTGTGTGGTGATCGAAAAAAAAATTTCTCCTGTTTCTTGTTTTTTTTTTTTTTTTTTTGATTTCAAACTCTTTGATAATCTAAATACTGTTTTCATGAAATCGGGTTATTTTTTTCAGTGTTGTTTATGAAAAAATGCTTACGACATTGGGCCGTGTAATGTTTATAACTCTTTGTTGTTTTTTTTTGTTTGATCGTTTCGTTGCCGATTCTGGTTATTTTTTTGTTTTTTTTGTTTTGCTCCACTTTATGGTTATTTCTTTTGTTTAGTTGTTTTTTTCAGTTGGGAATTTCAAGATTATTATTGTTGTTGTTGATGTTTTTTAATGAGAAAGTCATCTCTTTGAGATTAACGTTCACACGCACAGACTGGACTATAGTCTGTAAATTTCCAATCGGAATCGACAGTCAGTCAGTCAGTAAGTCATTCAGTCATTCGAATTATACACATAAACACTTCGTAGACGAAAAGTTTAAACACATCACACACACACTCATCTCATCGTTGGCAATTCCGTTTATTTCGATTGGCTTCATGAATGGTATTTCTTTTTTTTCATGATGATGATGATGAGAATTTGGAGAAAAAACTAAATGAAGAAGCCAAAAAGTCTTCGTAATTCTTTTCCAAAAAACCCAACCAAACAGCATCAACAGAATACTAGCTAATCATCATTAAGGACGATTCACGACAACAACGACCAAGAAACGAATCATATAATAACGTTAACACTGGCCTGGTGGTTTGGCATTTGTCTTTGTTTCTGGAACAACAGCCAAAATATATACTTAAAGAGAGAGAAATAGAAACAAACATTATCATCACGTCTTTTAATATATCGCATGTTTTTTTCTTTTTTTTTCTTTTTATTTTTCTACTCCCAAGAAAAAACACATACTATGTTAAATGTACAACAAGGCTCAAATTAGTACCCTGGATTCTTTTCTTTCTTTTTTTTTCATTTTTATTTTGTCATACTCATTGTCTGCATGTTTGTAAGTATGTGACTAGAACCATTGTTTGGGTGTTGAGTACAGTAATAGTGACAATCATCATTGGTGGATCATCTATGGTTCAAGAATAACGCCCACATCATCATCGTTGAGGTCCATAATTTTGGTATTAGATTTTTTATTTTATTTTTATACTCAATGATCATTCCTAGCAGTTATTATTATCACAATTTGATTTTTTTTTCTCTTATTGAACTTTGAGAATTCCATTGTTCGTAGTTGAAAAACAAAACGAAAAAAATTTCAAATTGACAAACAAACGGAAAAAAAGATACAGCCGCCGTCGTATACACGTCATTTATGACAATTGCCGACATTTTAACCGATAATGATGATGATAATGTTTACATCTTCCATTCTATCGATAATGCAGTATTTTCTTTTTTTTACCATCAATACAAATTCGGGTAATTTGTTGTAAGAATTTTATTTTCCTGGATACGCCTTTCCGCGAATAAAAAAAACATTTTGAAAAAAAACCGATATTACTAAACAATCAAAATGATCTTTTTTTTTACTTATTAGTGCTAACAAATGATTTCTATTAGTTTGGAACTTTGGATTTTTTTTCCCATTGTTTGTCATTTTACAGTGTGTGTGTGTGTGTGTGTGTATCAATCAATCCATCAATCAATTCAAGATGGAAATGAAATGAATTAAGGGTTAAGAAAAAAAATAGAGAATTTTTTCCAGATAAAAGTCTCTTCAATAGTCACTAATTTGCATAGCTAAGTGTTTTTTTTCAAAAAAAAAACGATTTTCTTAATTTTCAGTTACAAAACTACATTTATTCATTTGTTTTATGATGATGATGATGGTGATTATCATCATTTTCTTTGTCGAAAAATACTTAACTCAAGCATACTTAACAGCCAGTTTTTTTTCCGAAACGGTAATAAAAGAATTGCATTTCTAGAATCAAGCAAACATCCAAAGCAAAAGAATCGATTTTTTCTGGTTTTTTTTAACTTCAAAAAAAAATATATTCATCAAGTTAAATTATTTGAGGTAATGATTTTCAAAGAAAAAAAAATTACAAAAATCATGATAATTATGGCAATAATCATACACATATACATTATTTTTTGTCCTAAATGTATTTGATGATGATGATGATGAATATATTAATGTTGTTGATGATGATGATCATAATGTTGACTACAGAAACAAAAAAATTTAGTCTGCATAACATTAAATGAGGCCGTAATGACCAATTTTTCATGGATGCATAGTGTTAATGAGATTTTATAGGTGTTAAATGACGAGAATGGTGTGTGTGTGTGAGAGAGAGAGAGAGTGATTCCAGGAATTCGATAGGTATACAGTTTAGTAGCAGTCCATAGATTAACTTCTGCTACTTTTTTTTTGTTCACTGTTGTTATTCAAATCATTATTGCACAAACACACACATATATATAGAATGCTTTTGATGATGATCATTTGCATCATAAGTAATGTTTTTTTTTTTATTTTGCAAAAAAAAAATGGAATTTAGTTAATGTTTTTTTCTCTCTTTCTCTTTTTTAAGCTGCGAAGAAGATTCAGCAATTCGTTTGCTGTTGTTGTTGTTGTTGTTTACCGTTCAACAAAGTTAGGGTGGAAATTTTTTTTTTTTTTAATGATTCAATTTTCAATGAATTCGCATTGGTGATTATATAAAGCATTTGCCATGATTTGAGATGATTTGAAATCTTTTTCTTTCATCTTTTAACACATTTGAAAATAAAATAACCAAATGATATATATATTTTAGTATTGAAAAATAAAAATTCTAAAAAAAAACAAAAACACACCAACGAGATTCATTTACCGTTTAATGTTTTGTTTTGTTTTTATATATATTTGATTCATATAGATAATACCAGCTATAATGCTATAATCAATGGTGAGATAGCATTGCCTTGTAATATAACATCACCATCATTTGATGATGGTGTATCATTGGTACTTTGGTATCGTGATGATATTGCTACACCAATTTATACGGTCGATGCAAGACAATCATCATCATTGGAACGTGCACAACATTTTCTACATACAGATATATTTGATCAACGTGCAACATTTAATATTAGCTATCCATTAGCATTTTTATTGATCAAACATGTACGACCAAATGATGGTGGTGATTACCGGTGTCGTGTAGATTTTCGTCGTGCTCGTACTGTGAATCGTATACTTAAATTAACCGTTATCGGTAAGTACAGTGTACACATTTCGTTGAAACGAAAAAAAAAATTATTAATAATTTTTTTTCACATTCTGACAACTATTATTACATGTGGCCCAACATGTATAATAAAAAAACCCTTTTTATATTCTGTTTGACGATAGATAATTTGTTATGCGTTTATTTTTGTAGTTAAGAATCGATTTTTTTTACCCATGTCTGTTGTCTCCGTTTAAAACAACGAATGAACCTTAATCAATGACCGAAAATCAATGATGATGATGATGATTTTTCATTCACTCACTCATTTTTTTTTATCATATAAACTTTTCTCGTATGGTGTGTAAAAAGCAAAAAAAAATCGTCGATCAAGCCACCCAGATAGATATAGAAACAACAACAACAGAAAAAAAAGAATAATTTATTATGAACGCATTAAACGAAACGAAAAGAAGAAAAAAATCTAATTACCATTTTCATCGATTGGAAAAGGGGATGATGATATTAGTAGTAGTAGTAGTGTACATTTTCATCGATTAATAATCGAAAAAAATAAATAAAATAATAATACAAGTAGTAGAGATTATGTCTACAGTTTTGGATTTTAGTCTACCCCGAGTTTATCATTGAATTGTCATGTACAAACAACAACGATGACAACAACTGGATATACATAACTGTTCTTGACCATTCATCAATAAATTAGCTATATATATAAGAATAAGGATCACTTGAATTGCCAATTTGTAAGTTGTTTTTGTTTCATCATCATCATCATCATCATCACCAGTATATACGACATTTAAAATCAAATAGTCATTTTTGCACATTCAAGTGGAATATATCAATACCAACAACGCCACCACGACTATCGCTATTTTGATGATGAAGATAACTTTATAAACTCAAAATACACACACGAACACAAACAAAAACTTTTGTCAAAGCAACAACAATAAATGAATGAATGAATGAATGATCAGAACCAATTATCATCATTGTTATATATTAAATACGTGATGTTTGTTTGTCAGCATCATCATCATCATCATCATCATCATCATAGTTGATTTTTGTCGCTATTGTTACTTAAGTGTAACTTATTTTCGTTTTGTTTCTTCTTGAATTAGAGACCATGTATATTTACTAATTAACCACGACACACACACACACACACACACACAGAGACAAATACAAACACATCGAATATTTGTTCGTGTTTTTTTTTCTCATTCATTTACAATTTTCGTTTTTTTCTTTCTCTTTCCTTTTCTCGTTGATATGTTGGTCATGATATTTTTCAAAAAAAAAAAAAAAAAATTCACCACCATTATCAGTTCCGACAAGCTCTGTTATTATTTATGATCAAAATTTTACCATCATCGATAAGATTGCCGGCCCATTTGAAGAGGATTCCACACAAAGCCTTATCTGTGACTCAAGTGAAGGTATGTTATATCTGTTTCAAAGAAAAAAAATTCCATAATATCAATAATCATAGCTCGGGAAAACAAAACAGAATCAGGTGGTGTTTGTGTGTATCAATTTTTTTTGGTTTCCTATATTTAATTTTCTGGGCGTCAACAATGATGATGATGATGATGATGATGATGAACAGTAGAAAAATTTTAATTAAGACTTGTTTTTCACCAAAGGTTATAATTTCCTCAACGGGTTTTTTTTTATTTTCATTCATCATTCATTTAGTCAGTTTTTTTTTATTTTGTTCACTGAATCAAGCTTTTGAATCAAGCGAGCAAATAAAACAGAAAAAACAATACTGCCTGAAACTAACCAGTCGCTGTTGTGAAACAGCTTAGTTTAGCTGTGTTCTTTAATTTAATTATGGAACTGTTTCGAGTTTCTTTCCGAGCTTAAATATTCGCTCTGATTTACGATTATTCATCATAAGTTTGTTCTGTTTTCTTTTCAATACGAATATACTAATTGTTAATAAATCTATATTTGTTTAAAACCAATTTTACGCTACGTCATCCTTTTCGTGGTTTTACAATTTCATTTATTAACAAACAGTATATACCTCAATCTTTTCGTTTCTCGTTTTCCGTTATCGTGAATCTGTTTACGTTTCCGTTTTGGTTCTTTTATTAGTCGCGAAAATGTCTGACAATCTTAATATCCGTAGAATTTTAAGAACTAAAATTACTAAAGCTTCTCGACGATTAATATCTTTATCTTTGGACGAATTAACATCTCTACGTAATGAATATGATATAATTAGTGAAGCATGTTTGGTTAACAATACCGAAGATTACGATCAGCAAAAAGCTAAAGATGATTTATACAAACAACAGATAGAAGCTCTTATTGGTTATGAGCGTTCAATCAGTCAGCTAGAAGCTATTACGATCGATGATGATGATCTTTTGGTTTCTGAATTTCCAACTACTCCGATTACATCTCGAAATTTGCATAGTGCTTTACATCAAACTCAACAGTCATCGTCTTCTTCTGTTCAATCTTTGAATACATTTCCTGCTTTTCCGACGACAGTAAGAGCTTCGGATTTGTTGAACTTTGATGGGAATGTAATTAATTGGCTTCCTTTCAAAATGACGTTTGAGGACGAGGTCATCAATAACCCGAATCTTTTGGAATCTAAGAAGCGAAATCTTTTATTGAAAGTATTGCAGAATTCAGCTTTAGATAGAGCGATGGACCTGGTTCGTCAAGGAAAAACTTTGGTATCAATTTGGTCTTCTTTAAATGTTTTTTATAATAACCCGATAAAAATCGATGAGCAATTAACAAAGCAAATACGATCATTGGTTTATGTGAATTCTCCGTATGAATCAGCCAAACTGGAAGTTATGCTACGAGAAGTTCGTCGTTTGTCTAGTACTTGTGCTAGTCTTGGAGCTGCTTATCTCGCACGATCGAATTCTTTAGTGAAAGAAGTTCTTTGGAAATGTGGACGGCCGTTACGAGAAAAGCTGTGTCATGTTGAATCGTTAGCTCAGCTCGAGAAAGAGCTGGAAAAATTATACAAATCCGCTTTGTGTCTAGATGCATATGAACGCCGAGAACCATCAAGATTTTCTCGTCCGGCTTCTCAACAGGTGGCTGCTGTTTCGTCAGTGCGATGTTTGTTTTGCAAGCGTTCGAATCATTCTTCTGTGGACTGTCAAGTTTCTTTATCGGTGGAAGAGAAAAAACGTGTCTTAAGTACGAATAATCTGTGTTTTAAATGTATAACGCCTGGTCATCGTGCGAATTCTTGTCCTCGTGCAGCCTCAATTCGTTGTAGAATCTGTCAATCAAATCATCCTACCGTTCTACATCAAGTCCGTCTTAATGGTAGCCAAAATTCTCATAACAACAACAATATTCAGTCTCCTGTTACAAATTCTTCGTCTTCTTCCACTTCTTCCACATCAACTACTTCTACGGCTGCTGCACCAGTCTCGTCTACACCTTCATCTGTTGCTGCAATATCTGCTCTCTCAAATCAATCTATGTCTTTCTTGGCTTCCTCATCTGGTTCAACAATAGTTACATCTTCTGATTCTTCCGCTGTTGCTAGTGTTCATTCTTCTTCTGCTAATCCATTGGTGGCTCAATATGATGGTGTGGCATCTTCTTCTACTACTAAGGAACGTCCGGCGTTTATCATAAATTTTAGCGGTCGAAAATGCATGGTTTGGATAGATACGTGTTCGCCCTTCACGTTAATTCGCAGCAATTTAGTCAACATAAACGATTGTGCTTCCGTTCCTCCAATAAGTTTTTCCGGTTTTTCTGGTGGTTCGCTCACTATGTCAGATAAGAAGATTTCCGTCGTTCTTGTGTCCGATGCTTTACAAATTTCTATTGACGCTTATGTGATCCCTGTCCTCCCACATTGTGATCTTATCATCGGCACAGATATGCTTTCTCGTATAACGAAAATCGATCCTTTAAAATCTCTAAAATGGGAATCAAAATTCGGTGATATCTATTATGGCCCAGTAGCTGCTATCGAGAATATGAAAATAGATGAAGAAAGTGATGATGAGGAAGATCTTGATATGCATATTGTACGTCTGGAAAACGGTCGTTTTGAAGCCAGGCTTCCGTTTTTGTCGGACACACGTCCACCGTCGAATTATCCGGTAGCCTTAACGTTGCTAAACAAGTTAATTTATCGATTGGAAGCTGAAAAAACGTACGAACTATATCGATCTGAGTTCATGAAATATGTCACATCTGGACAGGCCGTAGAGGTGAACGATTGTGAAGGTTATTTTATTCCGCACCATGCGGTGTTTCGGGCCGAATCTTCATCCTCCCCTGTCAGAATTGTTTTCAATGCGTCTTTTGGTCGAGAATCATCCTTGAATAATCTACTTTGGAAGGGATTATCGCTGGGATTGGACGTTTTTCCTCATCTGATTCGAATTCGTCTGTTCAAATATTTATGCACCGCAGATTTAAGAAAGGCGTTTCTACAAATTTCAATACATCCTGAACATCGTAAATACATTCGTCTGCTGTGGAGAGAAAAAGATGGTCAAATTAAGAAATATGAAATGACCGTTCTTCCTTTTGGGGTTATTTCTTCTCCTGCAATTCTCACGCAAGTTGTCGATAGAATGGTCCAGTCTATTGATAACATTTCTTCGCGGAAAATGCTCTCTGGTGTCACCTACATGGATGACTTACTAATTGGATCCAATGATATGAATGATTTGCGTCAGAGTATTGTTGATGCAAAACGTGTTTTTAATTCTTCTGGCTTCGAGATTCATAAAATCTATTCAAATGCGCCTATTTCTGATGAAGCATCACCTGATAGTTCTGGTCTATTGGGACTCCAATGGTATATTTCTGACGATACTATTGGCTTGAAACATCGAGATTTATCATCGCCTGTTTTAACTAAACGTACCTTATTATCGATAATTGGCCGCATTTTCGATCCTTTAGGATTGATTGATCCTTTAAAGCTTCAACTACGTTTATTGTTCTCTCGTATAGTCTCCAATGAATGGGATGCTCCTATCGATACTGAATTTTCTCGAGAATGGAATGATGTGATCAAAGAGTGGCCGGATCTACGACTAATTAGAATAGATCGTTTCATTCCTGATACTTCCACTATGTATTGCTTCGCCGATGCAAGTGAAACCGGTATTGGTTATTGTATTTACTTGGGTTCACAATTCCTTTTTGGTAAAAGTAAAATCGCTCCTAAATTGAAGACTATTGTTGAAAAAGAGTTATTAGCTTTGTTAGAGTTGCTGAAAATGGTGGTTAAGATCCGAAAAATATTGAATCAATCTATCATCAATCCTTCAATTCGGGTTTATTCTGATTCAAGAATAAATCTCGATCGTCTCAATTCTTCTCCGAATCGTTTTAAATGTCATGTTGGCAAGAAATTACTTCGTATCCTTCAAATCGTTTCTGATTTTAATATCGCTGTCTTCTATATTCCTGGTAAAGAGAATCCTGCCGATTTGTTCAGTCGTACCGTTTCCGTTACGAGTTATCTTAATCGTAAACCCTGGATCCTTCATCTGGCCAATTTACCGAATGAAACGTGCCCAGTGGTCTCAGTCTGTTCTATTGAAAAGAAAGATATCGATTTGGATTTATTTAATTTTCTGAATGGTTTATCGTCAATCAAAAGTATGTTACGTTGGGTGAATCGTTTCCGTGGTTGGCTTCCTAAATCCCGACAAGAACGAATGTTAAATTCTTTGTACGTTCTTATTCGTTGTTTCCAATCAAATTCTCGTCCTAATAGTCCGCATGAATGGTACGTCGATGATCGAGGTTTGTTCGTTTTCCGTTCAAGAGATGGCTTAAATTCTATTTGGATTCCTCCTCGGACGGCTTTGGCTCGAGCGCTTTTATACGATGCTCATCGCCGGGCGAAACATAATGGAGTAAAATTGTCATTAGCTCAAATTCCGGCTGAGTTTGCAATTGGAGATGCTAACCGTTCAATGGCTCGTCTGATTTATAATTGTATCATTTGTCGTAGTCGTCGTGGTAAAGCTATTTCCGTTCCGTTTGGTCCTACATATCATGACGTAGATATTTATCAAGGTCCTTTTAGTCGTATTGCGATCGATGGCTTTGGTCCATTCACGTTACGAAACAGTAAAAAATATTGGGGTTTAATTGTTGCATGTTTATCTACTCGCTGCCTTCGGATCGGTATTCTCGAAGATTTGACGCCGATTGCAGCTGCACGTGCTTTGAAATCAGTATTCCATGAGGTTGGATATCCGAAATTCATTTTATCGGATAATGGCACGAACTTCAAACATATTAAATTGGCTCTTGAAAAAGCTGAGATGACTGTTGTCTGGTGGACATCGGCTCCGCTAGCTCCATGGCAAAACGGTACAGCAGAGCGTTTCGTTCAAATGGTGAAAAGTTGTTTGTCCGTATATGATAAGAATTGTCGCTCTTTATATGACGTGGTACTTCGTTTCCGGGAAGTAGAATCGATTATTAATGCTCGACCGATTATTTCTAATGAACGTCCCATTTCGGCGCACGAATTTTGTTTTCATCGGCCTCTACATTTGATTACCGAAAAAGCTACTAATGATTTTAAACCTATCGATTTGAACCGTTTGTATCGCTTTAACGAAGATCTCCGTAAACGTTTTACCAAACTTCTTAAGCTTCGTTATTTCAACTTGTATCGCTTTCGTCCCAAAATTTTCTCTGGCTCAGTCAACGTGGGAGATTATGTTCTAATACCCGATAAATGTGATCGTGAAACCTGGCCAACTGGTCAGATTCAAGAGTTATCTTTTGGTCGTGATGGTCGTGCTCGCTCGGCTCTTATCTGTTTCCGTGGGTCTTCTTTGTGGCGTCCTATCTCCGGTTTGGTCCTAATTCCGCGGGCGGAGAATTGTTGTGAAACAGCTTAGTTTAGCTGTGTTCTTTAATTTAATTATGGAACTGTTTCGAGTTTCTTTCCGAGCTTAAATATTCGCTCTGATTTACGATTATTCATCATAAGTTTGTTCTGTTTTCTTTTCAATACGAATATACTAATTGTTAATAAATCTATATTTGTTTCAAACCAATTTTACGCTACGTCATTCTTTCCGTGGTTTTACAAGTCGCACACCCATATTATATTTTATTTTTTTGTTCTTCAACAACAACAATCATTCACCATCTATGGATGATTTACTGTGTTGAAAATTAATCTAGTCTTTCTTTCTCACATAGGATGTGTGTGTGTGTGTTTTTAGCTTAGTTTGTATTTTATACGGTTTATAGTTTGATTTTTATTACAAAACATATATATTAAATGAAGGTGAAAAATTACCAAGGCTTAGCATCGAACAAAAAAAACGAAGAAAAAAATTAATACTGAAAAGACAATACTTGGAGAAAAGTTCTTTGCATTACACATTTAAATGAAAAAATACTGTATGTGTGTGTGTGTGTGTGGTGAATAGTTTTACAAGCTAATAATTTTTTCTGTTTTTCTATATATCAACATCAACAAAAGCTTTATTCTGTAAAAAGACAATGTCTTTGTGACTGTGTTTGCATCACATCATCATCATCATCATCAAAAGGCTTAGTGACAAGTGTGTTAATCTCTGATTCATTTGGGTAAACATACACATACACACACTCATACTCCATATATAAACCAAGTGAGACCGAAATATTTTTGCCATTTGATGATGATACAAGATAGATTGATGTATGGATGGATGAATATAGAGCCAGAGCGAAATCTATTATTATTATTATTGTGACATTGATTTACTAATATTTTTTCCATGTATTAATCAAATCAAAACAAAACAAAAATAAAATAAAGGAAATCCTTTACCGGTAGTACATTGGTGGCGTGGTTCGAATCTAATCGATAGTGAATATTATATCATCAATAATAGTATATCAAGAAATGTGCTTACATTAAATAATTTAAGCCGTGATGATCTACAATTATCTCTTACATGTCAAGCATATAATACAAATCTAACTGTGCCTATTGTCAAGACAATCACATTGGATCTTTATTGTAAGTTTATTTTATTGTAATGACCATTGATTTTATATGCTCAAATTTCTCAAAATTCTCTATATATATTCTTAATCTCTTTTCTTCTAGTAAAACCAAAAGAAATACGAATAATTACACCTATGAATAATATAACGACAACGACAACGACGACGACAACAGCAACACCCATTGAATTAGCATGTCAATGTTCAGGATCAAGACCAGCGGCTAAAATTAAATGGAAAAAACATCATCATCATCATCAACATAAAAATGGAAACGATGATGATGAACAACAAGAATGGTTGGATGCCTATACACAGATTATATCCAATGATGGCCTAACAACAACTAGTTTTCTTTCATTTGTGCCTTCAATCGATGATAATGGTAAAAATATTACCTGTATCGGTTATAATCCTCAAATATCACAATCGAAATATTCGATCGAAAATTCTTGGCTAATCAATATAACATGTACGCATTCATGATGAGAATGATTAAACGAATAGACAAAAGAAAAAAACTTTGCATATCATAATCCAGATTAACTGAAGAAAAAAAAATATTTCTCACTGAAACTTTTTTTTCTTGTTTACCATTTTTTTTCTCACTCTTGTTGTTGTTTGTTTATATGTAGATGCTCCGATTCTTTCACTAATCATGGGTTCAGATTCGCAATCACAGGATATTGTCGAAGGAAGCAACGTTTATTTTGAATGTGATATAAAGGTACATATATATACTATTTTTTATTTTGATATTCGAAAAAAAAGTGGATTGAAAAAAAAAATTCCTAGGTTTTTATTACGGGTCACATTGAATGTTATTAGCACAGAATTGGATTTGGATCACATATGCATTATATTGACAGCCATAATAATGATCTTGTCCTAGTTTTGTTAGTTTTAGTTTCCGTATTAGTGTAGTATACCATTCATTTACTTATAGTCGTTTTTTATATCTATTTTTTTCTGGAAATAATCAAAGAAAAAAAATAGACAAAATTAAATGATCATTCACTTTATATGGCCGCTAACTATGTCAATTTTCTTTTTCTCTCTCTCCATTGTTTTTTTTTTCTTTTTTTTTTTTTATTTGTTGTGTCCAAATAAACTAACCAAATAGGCCAATCCATATGTCACCACATTTGGATGGAAACTTAATGGACAAATACTTGATATGCTCAATATTAGCACATGGACAACAACAAAGACGACAACATCATCATCGAATTCGATGAAAAAAGCATCATCGACAATCATCATTGATGGTGTTGAAATGCGAAATACATCATTGTTGGTTACAAATGTAAATCACGAACATTATGGCCATTATCAATGTTTTGCTAGTAATCGTATTGGATCTAGCCAAAGTGAATCCGTTTTTCTTAATGTTAAATGTGAGTCACTTTTATTTTTCTATTATTATTTCACTATTGTCCATCATCCAATCATTCAGCATTTTCGGATGTTTCGAAATTTTCCGTTCTGTGTGTGTGTGTGTGTGTGTCTGTGTGCGTGTGTGTTAATGATTTCCGTCCGTGCGTATAAAAATTGAAAATCACTCGATCTAAAACGAAATTGCCGGAATAGAAAAAAAAATTACCTTTTCCAACCAACGAACACACAACCAATCTAAACAACGTACAATACACGATTTGCATTTGTAATTAAATTCAATTTTCAGAAACAACAACAACAATAGAACTTGATAAACACAATTCGGAATGAGAAAAAAAGTAAAGAATTTGATTTCAACCAAAAAAATAAATAAATAAAATAAAATCACTATTGATGATCACTACGATGACATTGTTTTGGTAAAAAATACAATAGTTGAAAATTTAAATTCTTCATCTACGCCATTGTCATCGTCTGAATCTATATATATATATTTACATTCGCTACTTTAATATTCGATTTTGATTTAATCAATTCCAATCGATTTCGATTCAAATTCAATTCAATCATCATCATCATCATTGCTCATTGCTTGGTTGGTTGGTTGTTTGGTCGTTATTTATTTATTTTTTTTTTTTTTTTTTTGAATCGATATATGTGTTTGCAACGACGGTTTTTTTCCCATTGTTTTGCTTTTATGTATTCTACTCGCGAATTTTGCCATTCGAAATTTTTTCCATTTTTTTTCTATATTTGAAGCGAGAAAAAAAATCGGTTAAGTTTTTGTTGTCTATTTTGCCGCAATGCAAGAAAAAAAATAAGCGTAAATGGAAAAGGAAAAAGGCATCTTTTCTTGTTGTTGTTGTTCCTTTCCATCCCATTATGAAACTGATGATCCATTATGGTGATTCTGTTTTGTCTTTTTTGTTTTTGTTTTTTCTGGTTTCCTTATTTTCTTTTTTTTCACTCATTTTTTTCTTATTTTTTGTTTTTTTTTCTCGCTATTCTTATATAACACTATGACGATGATGATGATGACCATCAGATACGCCAAAATGTAAACATAAAACAATCGTTGACATTGGTGTTGCTATCGATGAAACGGTTACCATTGAATGTCAAGTGTTGGCTAATCCAGTTAATGTTCGTTTTGAATGGTGGATGGAATCATGGCCATCATCATCATTATCAAATGATTCAAATAATTATAATGATGGCTACAGCAATAATAATCATACGGCAGATATCAAACGAATGAAAGTGAAAACTATCACATCATATACTAGTGTTGGTTTACAAAGCATAGCTAAATATCGTACAGCTAGCCAAAACGATTATGGACATCTATATTGTCGTGCAACTAATCTGGTCGGTCGACAAGATAAGCCATGCGTTTTTCATATCATCAAAGCCGGTACGTACATTATATATATATAATATATACTTGCGCACGTTTTTCGAATATTTTTTTTCAATTTTCCGGAAAACGAACACTGGTGAAACCGAATCTATCATTTTTGTTTCAAAATTTTTCTTTCTTTTTTTTCATATTCGGTAAAATTTTTTGCTTTTCGTGTGTTGAATATCATTATTTGGGATTTGTTTTGGCCATTTTTCAATTGTTGTTCAATAGAAGCGCCAAGCCATCCACACAATTGTTCATTGGTGAATAAAACGGCACATTCATTGACGGTAGAATGTTCACCCGGTTATAGTGGTGGACTTGAACAAACATTTTTTCTTCAAGTATATTCTTTGAATCCTAATCGTTTATTGAAAAATTTGAGTAATACACAACAACCATATTTTTCAATCGATGATCTACCGGCCGGTTATTTATTCAAATTGGTCATCTATTCATCTAATCGTAAAGGAACATCTAAATCGATTGAAATTACCGGTAGTACTACTGAACCATCGCCTTGGAAATCTGGTATGTTTTTTTTTCATTTCTATTTTTTTTTTCTTGTTTTCAATCAAAATATCATGATGAAAAAAAAATCTTGAATTTGAATTTACAACACATATAGCCGAATATCCGGCAATGGATATTTCATCAACATTAACACCATTTGCCTTGGTGATAATCGTGATAGTGATCATTGTGATATTATTCATCACCATTTTGGTCCATATTCGTAATCGTATTAAAGGTTTGGATTTGATATGATTTGTAATTAATTTTCTTTAAAAAAAAACTTTGATTGTGTTTTATCATCCATATGCATATAGGTCGTATGCGAACCGTAATACAAACGAATGATTCCCATCATCATAAACCGGCCAATATAACTCCGAAATCCATTATGAAAAAGTAATCATATTTTTTTTTTGGTAGCAAAGAAAAAAAAATTTTTTATTATTATTTTATACTGCATAAAGCAATAAATTTTGTTTTTTTTATTGACTTATTGAATCATAAATTTTTTTTGTTGTTGCATTTTTCTTGTTATGAATATTATTAGACAAAAAAGTTGGGATATTACAGCATCCAATGTTTTGACGACAACAGCATCCGTTATGGACAGTACAAACATGGGGGCCACGATGAATGGTCATATTGTACATAATGGCCATGGTCACAATAATAATAATAATAATAAAAATGAACAAGATTCAATATTGAATAATCTAACAACATTCAATGGTAAGCATTATTATTGATTAATGATTATTATGGCTGACAATTACATTGATCGATATTACAGTTGTTGAATGTTTAGATAATGATCAGAATTATGGCCATAATCATTATATTTCGACCATAACGATTGATACGGCGAGTCATCCGGATAATTCTATTAATCATCATCATCATCATCATAATCATCAAACTGTGCCTTATGCTTTTGTGCCTTCATCATCATCGACAACAACAACAAATACTAATACCGAATTCTATACAATGGATCCAATGGGTAAAAATCTAGTCACCGATTGTGATCAAACTAATTCATCATTGTCGGTCATATTGACACCACCACCACCACCACATCATCATCATCTTCAGATTCATAATCATCCATCGCATCATCATTTTATGGCATCAAATTATCATGAAAATGAAACCGGTACCATTGATACATTGTTACAACCATTGAACAATGCTTTACAACAGCGACAACAATCAAACATTGACAATTTTAATGGTACATTTGAAACGGATTGTTCATTTACACCATTACCATCACAACCACCGTCAACCGAAACGATAACAGCGAAAAAAGTGGAAATAATTTCTTGAATTAAACAATATATACCTGGTGGTGAAAATGGTAAAAATTAAATTACCTGCAAAAAGCTATAATTGTATAACAAGATTGGGTCTAACCCGGAACAATAATATCCGATAATTGAATTTTTGGACAAAATATGGCCGGTTATCGAATTCGTAGAAGACAATTTTTTTTCTCTTGATTTTCAATTGATGATTTTAACCAGTATCCAGGATCAATCCAAATAATAATGATGATGATGACAATATGGCTATGAGAGTTTTTATCGAATTGAATAATCAGAATCAGAATCTTTCATTACACAAATCAATACTATTTGCCATTTGTTATATTTCAACCAGGAATATTTTCGAAATCAAAGATTCAGAGTCCATTCATCATTCATCAATTGAAAATTGTTGTGATACAATTCTGGTGAATTAGTGAAAAGAAAAAAAAAAATGAATGAATGTTCGGTGTCAGAAGAACACATTATCAGAATAAAAAAAACGCTTGAACGGAAAAAGAATTTTCGGATGGATAACGTTAGAAAAAATATAAATGAATAAAAAAACTACCACCGCATCGTCAAACATCGAAAACATTTTCTTCATATTTATAAATTGATCCAACAGCAGCAGCAGCAGCAGCAGTTTTTTTTTGCCATCACTGTATTTTTCTTTTCTTCTTCTCAATGATTTCAATCATTCAAGCACAAACACATAATCGATATACACCATACACACGAAGAAAAAAATTTTTTTTTTTCTGGAAACTGAAAACAAAAATGAAAGCATAACATTTTTATTATTGTTAACACTATGCACTCTATTACATACATACACACTCACAAACCAATACACATAAAACAAACTTCACTTGATTTTAAGCAATGTATATTTTCAGGAAAACATTCCACTTTCCCTATACGAATTATTATCGTCAAGAAAACATTACCGTCATAATCAATGAATGACTGATGGATAGATGGATGGGTGTATGGTTAGTTAGTTTGTTGGTTGGTTGGTTGGTTGAATGGATTGGGATAACAAAAATTTTTTTTTTGTAACTTGAAATGTTTTGTTTTTGTTAATATTTTGTTTCTTCCCCTATCGTTGATGTTTGTTAATGTTGATGATCATTATTGTTTTGTTTTTTTGCCCAGTTTTGTTTTTTGTGTTCTGCCATATTTAATGTTTGTTTTGTCTGGTCCGGAAATGAAAATGAAAAAAATGATGATGATAATAATAAAAAAAAAAATTTGAAAAAAATGAAAAATTTTCATGAAATAATGAAAAAAAAAATTTCATTTTTTTTTATTTTATAAATCAAAAATTATTTTGTAGTTCTTTTTTTCTTTTGACAAAAAAAAAAATTAACCCGGTTACCAGTATTTGAACCGATAAAAACCAAACCAAGGTCAACAAGTTCCAAAAAAAAAGTGAAATGGATCTGAATTGCCTATGAAAATAAATACAAAAAAAAATAGTCATCCACTGTTGTTCCAATTCCATTCTATATCATTGTTTGCCTATTGACAAAGAATTTTTCATCCAATTGTTCAACAAGAAGGGGAAAAAAACGAACAAACGGTGAAACTTAATCTTCATCAATCTATCTATATATATTCTAACTTTATTTATTTGTTTGTGTTTGTCTGTGTCTATCATTGAAACAACGAGAAAGGCAAAAAATGGTAGCGAAAATTTGGAATTTTTCATTCATCGAAAAAAAAGTCATTTGGACACAATTGTATTGTTGTCATTTGTTGTTGTTGAATATTTTGCCTCTCTATAATCAATGTTTCTAATCTTCTTATCATCATTTTGATCAATTGTTTGTGTGTGTGTGTGTGTGTGTGATTCAATAAAAATTGTATCATACAATTGCTTTTCTGATCTCTTTTCCCATTGACACATTACGATACAATCATCATCATCATCATCATCATCAACACCTTTATAATTGTTGTTGTTGTTGTTGTTGTTGTTCACATTGCAATTGTTTGTTCATCATCATCATCATCATCTTTAGAATAATAGTAAAGTTTTTATTCTTTTTTCTTTGATTGAAACATCTGGATAAAAGGATTGTCAATTTCTTTTTAAATCAGAAATTGACATTAACACACACACACACACACACTATTTCAATGATAATGACTACAATATCAACATCGAAATGATCGATCTATGAATTTCCATTCTATTATTATTCTCTTCTATCATTTTATAACAATAGGATCAAATTCATCCATACATCTATAACCAAGGACATTGATAATATATAATGCATTATGATTTGAATCTTATTTTAGCTAGTGTGGTGCACTCTGGCGTTATCGTAATGAATTAAATTGAAATGATTGAAAATCAAAAAACAAAAACCATTATATCCAGAATTTTGTTTAATATGTGACCATTTTACATGTCAAAGAATGTGTCTTTTATTTTATAATCCATTCGACTGATAAGCCCAGAAGCCTAATTATGTCACAAATCTCTAGAATCATAATATATCCCAAAATGTGGATATGTCGAATGAATTTTTGTTGTTGTTGTTGTTGTTGTTTGTCATTTGATTGTTCCAGAATTTTGTTACGGTTGTTGTTTATCATATCGCCTTCGGTTTTGTTCACTTTGGTGTTAATGTGTGTGTGTGTGTGTGTAACTTCTGGGTGACCATTTCAACTTTTTTTTTGACTTTTATTTCATGACTAGATATATATGGATTTTGTTATGCTAAAGAATTTTGTTCGAAAGTTTTTCATGTGTATAACCGAATCGATAGTTGTGATGAGCGAATTTTTTTTCTTTTTCTTTCGTATTTTTTTTTGGCTGTAGTTAAAATGCAAAAAGAAGAAAGAATTGGCACTAAAGAATATAAATAAATTTAATTTCTTTCCATTTTTTTTTTGGCAAATCCAATTTTCCTATCTCGAATCGATTTTATGCTGCTTCTGTTGTTGTTGTTACAATTGCTGGTCATTCTCACATCCATTTTGCGTGTGTGCGTGTGTGTGTGAGTATTCCGTTTCCGAAAACAGTCACTCATATTTTTGTTGTGGTTGACAATTGTGCTTGATTTTCCAGTTTTCAATCTGATTTTTTTTTCGATATTCTAGTCAATTACAATACAGCAAGCAAACAAACAAGCAACAAAAAATATTTATTCTCAGCTAACCATCAACTATTTCCGTTTCGGTACGATGAACAATTTTTAAATGAATAAAAAAAATAACCGCACACAAAAACGTTTGTGTGTGTGTGCGAGCGTTTTTTGTGTATGAAAAATTAAATGATGACAAATGCAAAATAACACTAAAGTTGCTTAGCAAACATTGGTGAGGAAATGATACTCGACGATATGTCTATTTTATAATGATAATGATAATAATCGAATAATAACGAATTATTATAAGTTGGTCAAATGATTGAAGAATCGATTATCTTGTTCATCGCCGTTTATTATTGAATGAATGAACTGGACCATTTTCTTTCATTCATTGTTGATGTTGTGTATAGCATATCTGTGAATGATATGGGTTTATTATGGCTAAAATCTAAAAAAAAAGTTTTTTTTGTGCCTCTGATTTTTTCCTTTATTTTTGAATACCGATTTCCGGCCATTTTAAACTTTGAAACAAACGATCTCATCATCATCATCATCATCGTAATGAGAGAAATAGGGAAACAAAATTGAACAAGAAAAAAATTGTCATTTTTATTATGTTGATTACAATGATGATGATGAGATCGTCAGATGATCATCTTCATTATGGTTGTAATGATAATGATGATGTAACAACAACAACAACAACATTAATAACATTTGCAATAATAATTGATTAACATTTTATAGCATCCTACATATATAATATATACAGTTATTGTTTATGAATTTTTTTTTCACATCATTTTCATAATGATGATGATGATGACGATGTTGAATTTATTATTATTATTAAACATAAATCGCACTTTTCCGGTTTCCGGGACAAATATCTTCTTTAATGATGCGCTTGGCCATTTTATTCCATTTGTTATTCGACAAATCGTACTTTAATGGCCGATTTTGGTGGTAATTGTGGTGATAATAATGATGATGATGTTGATGTTGATGGTGATAAATTGTTAGTGTTGATCATCATTGTTGATGATGATGATTGTTGTTGCTGCTGCTGCTGCTGCTGATCTATGATTATCGATCCATTTGTTGGTTGATGATGATGTTGATGATGTGAATCAGCAGCATTCGATGCCGTTAGAAATGTATCCATATTTGCCGTTTGTGTTGTCATAATGATATGTGGAAAAGAATTTTTTGGTGAATCGATATTCATTACTACAGGTGTCGCTGTTTTCGTCGTCGTCGTCGTCGTCATTACCATTGTCGCATCATTAGATGATGGCATTGTCGTTGTTGTTGGTGAAGATGTTAAGACAAATGAATTCTGGAAAAACAAAACAAGACAAAAAAACAAATAACAACAAAAACCGATTTCAGTCATTATTAATTGATCTAGAAAATGTAAAGAAAATAAGAAAATTTGAAACAGAATAGAAATGAGAAGAGAAAAAGAAAATTCTTGTTTTCATCTCACTGATGATGATGATGATGGTATATGATAGAAATATAATGCAGGTCATTTCAATGGAATTTTTTTCTGAATTGTTCCAGTAAAGATTTTTTTTCTTGTTTTCAGTTTGGTCTATTTTACGGAAACATCTGATCTCTGACAAAAACCAGCCAGATCTCAAAGAAAAAAAAAGATGCTAATTCAACATTTTCTCTCTGTATGTGTGTTTGTTTCTGTTTAAATGATATTCATTCCAGTTGTTTACATCTAAATTAATGGTTTTTTTTGTTTTTCTTTCGTTTTTTTCTTCACAGAAACAACAACAAAAAACAATCTTTTTCAGCTATAATACCGGGTGAAAACGAAAAAAAAGGTTAATTAATCAAACCGTCACATAAATGAAATGAATGTCAACAACAAACATTCATATATAGCATATTTCCTGTTGTCGATGAAGATGCGATGATGAAAGCGATTTGAGATCATCTTCATCATCGTATATTCTGTGATACACTAGCTACTCGCAGATATGATGGTTTAATTCGCTGATGCTGCGACATTTGTCGATAAAAATCTAGAAATATTTTTTGTGTGTGTGTGTATGTGTGTTTGTCAAACAACTTACATGATTATTATTATTAGATTGTTGTTCAGATAAATTATTTATAGCAAGAAAATTCTGTTCCTCTTGATGAAGTGGTGTTGATCGTCTCCTATGATAATCTCTAATTGTTGTTGGATTTGTTCCATTACTTATCGATATTGTACTGTTTTCGTTGTTTGTTTCGTAAACTGTGGTAAGCTCATCAGGGACAATATGATTTTTATGATTATTATAATGATGATCTATCTGTGTTGATAATAATGATGATGATGATGATAATGTTGTTGGACAGATTTTTACATGTGAATGATGATGATGATGATGATGATTATGACAGGAATTTATCATTGTTACATTATCATCATCATCATCTTGTATGGAACAAATCTGATTATATTGCTGCTGTGGATGATATAATAGACATTCGATTGGATGATTATGCTGATGATCAGCATTCATAATGGCCAAAGGTTTAGCTGTTGTAGTATAGTTGTTGTTGGTTTCATTAGCGGTAGTAGTTAACTCCAGATATGATCCATGATGATAATAATGATGATTATGATGTGATTGATAGCGATCATTTTGATATTGACAACAATTCATCATTGATGTTGTTGCTGTTGTTGTTGTTGTTGTAGGTGTTTGTGATCGATTCAACATTGTTGATGAACGTCTTGGTAAGGTGGCTATGCTCTTTAGAATATTTTCATTGCCCGATAACAATTGCTGTGGATGATTGTGATTATGATGATAATGTTGTATTATTTTCGATTCACCACAACCATCGATTTTGTATCCAATTGGATCGATCATTTCAACAATATTATGGTTGGCCGTAGAACCTACCAAAAAAAAAACATTTAGAAATTATTTTGATCAATTTTTTATGGATAGGTGTGGCTGATTTTTTATGCTAATAATCTATACACATTTTGATTGATCCAAAACAAACAAAAAAAAACAAACAGAAAAAAATTGTTATTCTGGATCAATATTGATCATTCTTGGGTAATGGCATTTTTTAAGTATTGTTTGATTTCTGTTTGCGAAAAATAATGCAATCATTTTTTGTTTTTTGTTTTTTTGATTTAAATGCAATCGATTTGAATGGCCTCGAATGAGATTCAAATTTTCATCACGAAAATTATCAACAAAAAAAAAATTTCAAATGTTTTGTTCGTTTCGAATTCTGTGTTTGTGTGTGATGTTTATGCAATTTTTTTGTTATCAAAATTGAATCCAATTGAAAATGTATTTTTCGTTGTTGTTGTTGTTGTCGTAGTTGTGTTTGTTCAAAGCCAATTTGCAATTTGAAAATCAATAATAAAAAGATTTAAAATCATCGCAAATCATCATTTGATTCGACAATTTGCTATTTATTTGTTGGGCATTTGTTTTTTTTTTTATTGTCACCGAAAAATCATCATCATTTCCATTAATTTCTTCGTTAAATTTGTGCACTGTTTATTCTTTTTAGTCAAGTCATCTCCCGTTTCTATTGGGACTTAAGTTCATTTAAGATGGCCCTCGAAATTTAAGTCACAAAACGGTGTTTCCATTGCAACTTAACTCACCAATAGAAACAGGGCGTATGTTGACTGTGTGTATATATAATAAATATGTTTGGAAATCCGTTTCCTTTACTATTTTTTTTATCGTCCATTTCCCATTTTCATTTCATTTCATTTCGTATCTGTGAATGGCATTATAAATTATTGATTTTTTTTCTCCACTTTTTTTCATTTCAAATGAAAATGCAAAAAGAAAAACAAAATAGATGTGGGGAAAGATGGGTGTAACCATCAAGGGCAAAAAAAAGAATGTGAATGTCTCTGTACATCTTGATATCATTGTTTTTTGTTTGATTTTTTTTTCCATTTCGATCATGTAATTGTTTGTTTAGGTTGTGTAAAACTGTAGAAAAAAAATGTCCCAATGTTTCAATGTATGGCCATGAACACCTTATCATTCAAAAACAAAAAAAAAGAGATCAAGTCAAAACTTTTTCTGGCTGTTTGTTTAAAGAATTTCTATGAAAAATTCAACCGAACTGAATGAATTCTGCAATTGGAATTGCAATCGTGGTCAAACAACAATTTTTTTTGTTGTTGTTGTTGCCAATGAGAAATGTGGATAAAACATTTATGATTTTTTTGTTTCTACTATAGGTTAGTATTTCATATACGATGACAACATACATACTCAAACACTAAACGACCACGACAAATGATTCACATTTTTTTTTTTGGATCGTTGTAAAATTGTATCCGATATGGTTGTATAGACTATGCTACACACAATAATCTGGACTGCAACAAAAAAAAAACAGTATACAATGATTGATACGATTGAATTTAACATTAGCAAATGATGACCATAAATGGTAAATAATACATATAAAACGGTGGTTTCATAATATATTTTCATATCATTGCTAAATTACATTTAACTTATAACACACACACACACACAGAATTAAAGTGAATGGTCAGATCTTTTTGTTTGTTTGTTTGTTTGTTTGTCTTTTGGGCGTTTTATCGTTGATTATAATATATTGGATCCACTTACAATTTGTCTGATGATTATGATTATGATTATGATGATATAAAGAGGTGGAGATATTTTCATGATTTTTGGAATGTTGATCATTAAAATTTGTACTGGTTAATTGTATCATTTGACAATGTTTTGGATGTAGATGTTGTTGCTGTTGTTGTTGTTGTTGATCTTTGACCATAAATGTGACCATTTCGATTGATGATGATCCAGCATGTGATGGTGATAGTTGTGGTGGTGGTGGTGGTTTTTGTTGTATAGTACAATCACCACCATTGATAACAGTAGTATCAAATTTCGTTCCATTTCCGGTCAAATTTAAATTGGTCATTCGAGACAATGAATTTGATCTTGAGCTATATGGGTGATGTGAAACAAAGGAAAAAAAAAGAAAAAGTATTATGGTTAAAACAATGTATCAGAAAAAAAAGAAGTGGATTCAATGGAAACAAAACAAAAAAAAAACAAAAACAAAAACAGAAAAAAACGGTCAGAAACATACATTGTTTCCGAATTGGAATGATGATGATGATGATGTTGTTGTTGTTGTTGTTGTTGAAAAGAATTACAGGAAGAATGCATGTCGTTGTTGTTGTTGTTATTCTGGTTGTTATTATTATTATTATAATTTGTAATGCAATGTGATGCTGATGATGCTGATGCTTGTTGTAACAATAATAATGTATCGCCGCCAACCTCATCATCATCATTCTTTACTACAATTTTGTTGTTATTATCGTTGATTGTTGTTGTTGTTGATGTTGTTGATGTTGATGATAATGTTGAAGCCATAACGATGGCAGTATCACCACAGCTAACACTCGTACTATTAACGACATTCATAACAGAATTCAATGAATCGTCGTCTTGTTGGTTGTTACTAATGTCAAAAACATTTCCTTCATTTCGTATCGTCGTCGTTGTTGTTGTTGCTTTTGTTTGTTTCACATTATTATTATGATTACCATCGATATGGTCCTTATTGTTTTTAACATCTATTTCATTATTATCATTATCGTTGTTGGGATTTGATTCGATTCGATTCGATTGGATTTTTCATTCAAATCAAACAAAAAAAAGAAAAGATTGTGTGATAAGAGATTTTGAAATAAAAAATTTAAATAAAACAAATATAAACAAAACAAAATAAATGGTAATGGTTATGAATTGAAAATTTACTTGAATAGTTTTTCTTTGCTGCTGTTGTTGTTGTCGTTGTTGTTTTATTTCTTCTTCGTCGTCGTCCAAGCTTAATAATGACCATTACGATAAAAGCACCAATCGATGTAATCAAACAGGCGACAATGAATATTAATAATAGAAATGGTCTAATATTATTCAATCGGAATTGTTCGATATGTTCTGCATAAATGGAGATGATATGCGGAAGATGAGTTTCATCATTTTATTAAAATTAATTTTTTTTATTTTGATAATAAATACCCAATTTTTTTGGTTGTCCAACTAGATTGGTAACTGGTACACGGATACGTTCACTTTGTCCACCACCATTTCGATTTATAGCATAGATGAACATGTTTAGATTATCCATATCATTGGCAGATAAATCATTAATATTGAATTTAATCATCGATGATGATGATGATGAAGATGATGATGGTTCGCTTAGATTTCTGATTAATTGATTCAAACCGTTGTAGATTAATAATATATAATGATAGTTGCCATTCGTTGCCGATAGATGATGCACGCCGTCATCATCTATTGATGAATGTTGTTCTTGTGATGAATGAACATTCGAGTAAAAATAATGATGATTATATGATGGACATTGTACCGTCAAAGATGTTGATGTTATATTCTGTAGTGAGCAATTTTTTGGTGCCATTGGTGTTTCTGTAAATAGTGGATAGGGCGGGTAAGTCATTAGTTATCATCATGAATTCATATAATAAATATATTGGATATATTTTTGTGTGTGTAGCCCGTTTTTTTAACGTACCTGATTTACGAATATGGTATATACATGGCTGTCTTTGACGGCCAATACGATTCTGTGCAAAACAATATAATGTACCATAATGATCGATTGAACGAGGCGTAAAATGTAATACACTGCGATATGGTGATTCAAGATGATTCTGTATACTCATTAATGGACGACTTCGATTTTCATCGTTACCTTCACCATCATCATCATCATCATCAACCGAATCCAATGCATTGTTTATGTTTTTGTTGCTCTTGCCCAGATGATGATGATGATGTTCAATGTTTACTGACATATCAGCTGTAGGCGATGATGAATTAAATTCCCAAAAAAACATAACATCACGAGGATCAGCATGGACATTACATCCAATGGACAATTGTTCAAATAATTCTAATTCGAATGTCATTTCATTTATCGTTTCATCCATCGAACAAATTGGTGCGTCTTTTTTCATCAAAAAAAAACAACAAAAAGAGAAAAACATTGTCAGTACAACGAATTAAATTTCATTCGAAAACAAATGAACAAATAAAAACTGGAAACACTTGAAAAAGGGAATGTTGTTGAATTCAATTTTTTCTGATTTCCAAGAAAAATGTTTGCACACAATTGTCCAAATAAAATTGAAATGAATTGGAGAATAATGTATTTTCAAGCTATCTATATATGCTCGAGGTAACAATGTTGTTGTCGCTATGTTTGTTTGTTTTTTTTATTTGAAATTTCGAAATTTAAATGAAACTGAATTTTATTCTTCTCATTGAATTTGGATTTGTTGATTTGATTGTTGTTGATGACTTTGTTGTTGTATTTGTTTATATATGGAATATCAATTATTGATAATGGTGGACAGGATTCAAAACATCAATCGTCAATACAATAATAATACACTTACATTTAACATTAAGCTGAACAATTTCACTATAGCTTTTACCCAATTGATTTGTGGCCCAACATTGATAGCCACCAATATGTTGTCGATTAACATTATTGATTATTATTGAATTATTTCGTATTTCGATTCGATTAATATTGTCGTTGTTGTTGTTGTTGTTGTTGTCAACAACAACATCATCATCATCATCATCATCATCGTTGTTGCCACCATCTTCATCATCAACAACAACATCATCATTGTAGTCGTTGTTTTTGCTGTTGTCACGATGGTTAATTATTACCCTGCCATTTGTCATTGGTTTATGGCCAATTAATGTTTCAAATTTTTGATGATCATGATTTGCCATCATATTCATTATTGATTGTCTATCTAATTCCTCTCCATTGAATAGCCAACCAAATTCTTTTACTGGAGGATTTGCCTTTTGAAAAATCAAATTACATTTATTGGATATATATTCAAAACAAATTAGATATGATAGTAGCAAAAAAAAAGTAAAAGATCGTTGCATTTGATATCTTTTCGATTCTTTATCGATATCAATCAATTTAATGATGATTTTGTAATTGAACTACTATGAATTCCCTTTAATGCAATCAACCAATTTTTTTTCTTCATAATTTTCATCATTTCTTCACATTTCTCTCATTCAATGTTTACGCCTGGCAAGATGCATTCATTCATTCATTGTACGCGATATCAATAAAATTGTCTCAAGAGAGATTGATTCTCGTTTTGTTTTTCTTTTTTTTTTGGTTTTTATGATGATAATCAAACAATAATTAACTGATCTGAAAAACAAATAATGATGGTGATGGCCACAAACTATTTTGTGTGTGTGTTTGGCTATTTGATTATCATTACATTACAACAACATAACAACAAAAACAACAACTTTTCTCTCAGTTAAAAATATTACAATATATCCATGAAGTGATTCTATCTTTATTGAATAATGAATTCTTTTTCACTAGCTTCGGGGAACTAGATCCAAAACCAAAACAAAACAAAAAAACGAAACAACAACAACTAGAGGCAATAATCGATTGATAATCAATTTTGATGATGATGACAACATTAACGGGAAAAAATTAAATGACCAAAAAAAAAAAAAGAACGACAAAATCTATTGAATTCATTCACTGTAAATGTTGTTGTTGACAAAAATGTATTCTACTGTTTGGTTGATTTTGCGATTGATTGACTGATTCGACGTACTCTGTATCAGTTGTTTCTTTTTCATTTTCATTTTTTTAAAAAATAGGCCATTAATGATCATCAAACAAACAAAACAAGATAATTGGTATATCGAATACCAAAAAAAAAAAAAAAAAAAATAGTTTATATAGCCCCTTATTTATTTTCTGTATTTGAAAAAAAATCTGAAAAATACTGAATCGTTAGTGAGTGATGTCATTCAATGATGATTTGTTTGTTTGTTTGTTTGTTTGTGTGTGTTTTCCATTTGTCTCCAATAGAATTCCACAATTTGTTTGACTTTTTTTTCTGTGCTCATTCTGTTACTAAAATATAACTATTTGATCATGATGATTTTGGTAAACTATCGATTGATGATCACTTAATTTATACTGAATGAAAGAAAAAAAATGAAAAGAAATAAAAAATCAGTTCTTTGTTCAAACTCATCATCGTTATCGTTAAGAACAAACAGCTGACGGTTTGTCCATATTGTTCAAACATCATCATCACCATCATCATCATATCACACTAGAGAATGAGTGAAAGAAAAACAAACCGGAACTCTAACATTATATCCGGAATATGTGTGTAAGTTATGAACAATAACATTAAAACAGCCAACCAAATCAGGCAGAAAGAGACAGCATTTTCTTAATGAGAATTCAGTTCTCATCATCATCATCGTCTTTATTGAGCTCTGATATGAGATGTGTGTGTATTTTCTATGAAATCAAATATGATGTGATATGATTTGATTTGATGATCAATTTTTCAATACATCATTTTATCAAGTGTGTAGTGTTTACAATAATAATTTTGATTGGGCAAACCGCTTTTTCACTTTTTGAAATTTTATGCTTCGATTAGCGGAATAACGAGAAAATCTATCATCATCATCATCATTATATAACAATGATGAAATACAATTACAATTTATTTTTCTAATTAATGTCAAAAAAAATCTAACTTTTCAATGCTCATACAATGCTGAAATGCTGACAAACTATAAATCAGAAATCAAAATTTTAGATTTAGTTGTTTTTTCTTGTCTTGTTTGATTATTTATTTATTTTTTGGTTTTTGGTTTTTGGGTTTTGCAAGAATCAAATTCATGATAACCTGGTCGATGATGAGCGGTTGAAATCCGATTAATTGTGTTTACTATACCATTTGCCATGTATCTATGTTTCAATCAGAATCTCTCTTTCTTTCTCTCTCTCTATCTAATCGTATATATATAATTGAATTATAATCGAGAAATCAAGTAAAGTTGACCACTAAAATAAAATGGATAGATAATTCATTCTGATTTCTTTTTTTTTTGCTGCTTTTCATTCATTCATTATGAATCATTGATCTTTTTTTTTGAAGATAGTATTTGTTGATTATGATAATCATTGATTACTTACTTGAATGTTACAATCAAAATAAACACTACTATCTTCGACAATCTCTTGTTGTTTAGCATTTGCTCCCAATAGTAATGATAGGATTGGAGCATCTATGTAAATAAATAAATAAATGAAACAAAAGAAAAATTTCAATCATCCACGATAGAGAGAAAGAGAGAGAGAGAGAGATAATTACATTGTATATTCAATTCTATTCGATCTTCTAATTCAAATCTTTTGAATTGTGGATTCTTTGCCACACAGCTTAATTGTCGACCATTATCATCGATTGTTGGTATGAATGCCAAATAATTGGTTGTCACTGATCCATCATCAGATGTTGTTTCACTAAAATGTTCCATTAATTTACCATCTTTACGCCATTCAATCTTTGCCGGTGGTCTTGATCCACTTGATTGACATACTAATTCGATTTTTTGTCCAACAGTCATATTATGTAATGGTCGTACAATTTTTACTTCGATTGGTTTTACTTAAAAATGAAAAAGTTTTTTTTTTACAATCAGTTTTGATTAGTTTTCAACATTGATTATTTACGATTACTTACGATTCAGATCGATCAATATGGTTTTTGTAACAGGCACAGTTAGATTGGTATTGGTTGATTCACATGTCAATGGCATCATAAGATGTTCACGTAACACCTTATCAAATTTTATCACATTTTTGACCATTATTGATGTTGCTTTATTACCATCAACATTATTAACGGTAATACTATGATTACCAATCATTTGTTCGCCTTTCCACCAACGAACTTTTGGCAATGGATATCCACCTTCGGATAAGCAAGTCAAATTCAATGGAATATCTTCGTTGAATGGGCCAGCAATATCATTGATGTAATTATTACCGGTATCATAGATGGATAGTTTATTGGCTGGTACTGGTCATCATATCAACCGAATCGAATTGAATTGAATTATATTATTTTGTTGAAAAAATTAATGACGATATTGAATTTCCATTACACTTACCTATCACATTTAATTGCATCACTCTATTTATGGTACGATCACGACGAAAATCTACACGACAACGATATTCAGCAGTATCTGTGGCTATTGTTCGTATAAATCGTAGATAAGAAATTGGATATGTTATATTGAATGTTACACGATCATCATCGCCCAATATGGCCATATCATGAAAATGTTTGGCCGTTTTAAGGCTATTGCCTATGCCACGAGCATCAACCGTATAGATTGGTGTAGATTGGTCATCACGATACCATAATATCAATGATACATCATCATCACTAGTTGGTGGTGTTATATTACATGGCAATGATATTGGCTCACCAATTAATGTATTGTATGGCTGATATTCTATATTTGTTTGAAAATAATAGAATAAAATAAAATAAATAAGGTTAATTAGACATTATGTTTCACAACGATAGCCATCATAATCAGCAATAGCATCCTAATTATCATCATCATTTGCTTCCAGTTTTTTTTTATTTTCATTCATTTCTGTCAATTCTGATTTAGTTGATTAGAAACTGTGTGTGTGTGTGTGTGTGTGTGTTGGTATGTGTCTTCACTTTACTTTTATAATATCGCATACGATGGTTTTTATTATTACCACCACCAATACCGCTACCAACACCTGGTACGTTTCCATTTCCTTCATATGTTCTTCGTTCCATGTATTCTAGAGAAAAAAAAATCAATAAATGTCAAAAACGGGTGGTTATGATTTTATTACATCAAACGATATTATTTTTTTTTTTTGCCGATTCGATTCACAAACACTTTTGACATTCGGTTCGATTAAATTTGTGAAAGGCTATAATTTTTTTTTTCATATATTCACATTTAATCACAATAAACAATGATTGGTTAAAAATGATTCGATTTTTTTTCTAAAAAAAAGGAAATGATCAAAAATCACGAATCATTGCTTGTTTGTTTGTTGTTGTTTTTGTTTCTATTCAATACACGAACATCAATGATTTGAAATAACATAGATTTTTTTTTTTGGAACATCTATTTATCTACTATCTAGTCTAGTTTTTTAATTTTATTTTGAGTGATATTTTTGTGTTAATATTTTAATGGATTCTCATCGATCAAAATGTTTTATCTCGAAACAAAAAAAAAACATAATCTATATTTACAATGTCAAATCTTATGATCGTATTAACCATGATGACGATCAGTTGTTTTTCCTGTTGTGACATTACTTTCTTAAATAACAAAAACAACCAAAAAAAAAAAATTCGAATCCATACCAAGAAGAAAGATAAATTCTCTATAGAATTTTTCAAATTGATGCCAATGAAAGTCTAAAAATTTATGATCATCATCATGTTGATGATGATAGAACACCACTATTATACCTCAAATTTAGTTCAATGATACACACACACACACACACAGTTGGTAGACCTAATTGTTGTCTATTTCACATGATGATGATAACGTTGTTGTATAATTCACACATCCTATGTGTGAAATAGACAACATCAATAAACAAATGTGTGTGTGTGTGTGTGTATGTGTGTGACCACTGTGTGTGTGTGTTGTTATGATATGCATATGTGAAAAAAAAATCCATTTATTTGATTGATGTTGTTCCATTGTTGCATATTTCAAACAACAAATATTACATGACTATATCATATTTGTGAGTATGTGTGTGTGTGTGTGTGTGTGTGTGTGTGTGTGTGTATAGTCCCTATGGGTCCTTTACCATATTTGACTAAACATTGGATTGAAATGAATTTTAAGTTCCGCTTTTTCCAGTTAATGTGTGTGTGTGTGTTTTTCCTTTATCCTGCTTTATTTATTCCTGGATGTCTGATATTCTAATTCCATAGTAGCATTGTTGTTCATCAAGGCAACAAGCCATACAATCAAACAGCATTTTTAATGCTTTTGGTTAGTTTTTTTTGTCGTTATATGAACATTTACTGTAGATCATCATCATCATCATAAAAAATAGTTATTCCAAGTGAATAAATCAAGTATGTGTATATCATCCATTAATTCATGTTTACATAATCCACATGCATTTCAGTTATGTGTCAGCCAACGGATTCTATCTTCATGTTGGAAAAAATATTTTATTTAATTAATCAAAAAGAACAATTCTTACAGTTTTCCTATACAGTCAACTTGGCATCACCAGATTCATTCATATTCTATTAACCGGTCAGTGGTGGACTTTTTTTTCTTGATTTGCTCTCTGTAGAATTCTTTAGTATCTAAACCATTGTTTTTGCCTCATGGAATCTGACTATCTATCTATTCTTTTTTTTTGTTACATACGAAAAACGATTTGTTCTGCGTTTGTAGAATATTCCTTGTCTACCATACTCAAAATCGGACCTACACAAATACAGGATACAAGTCTAGAAAGGTTTTTTTTTAGAAATCGGATCAGCAATATATCACTATTGTAAAGAAAAAATCCTCATCATCATTGAAAATGAACACAAAAGCTAAAATATTAAGAATTTGGCTTGTTGTTGTTGTTGTTTTTTATATGTTTTCAGTTTAGTTTAGTTTAGTTTTATGGTTGCTGACTTGATGGTGATAGTGGCTTGAGCACATGTTTTTGGTTTTTTTTGTGTGTTTGGCTTGACATAGACACAGAAAAATATCCATCATCTGTCCATTGTCTATCTGTGTTTGTGTTCAAATTGGAATAGCCAAAGGAAAAAATAGATATAATTCATTGTTCCAAGAATAGAGAGAGAGAGAGATGGAAAAAAACTAAAATGATCATGGTTCTAAAGTCCCGGTTCCAATATTTTGTTTTTTTTCAAAAAAAAAAGATGAAAAGAGTGAAAAAAAACTACAAAAATTTTCATTCAATAAATAGATAAACCCCAAAAAAAACTCATCACTTTTAGCAATTACGGCGAATATCATTTAAGAGTTTATTTTTTTAAATAGTGGCTCTCACTATTAAAATTAATGAATTGCCAAAAAAAAAAAAAAAAAAAAAATTTTTTTGCATTTTTCATCACCATCATTACTTCTTTCGATACTCAAATGAATGGTGGATGATGATGATAATAATTAATTAATCACATGACTGGTTCCATAATAATAATAATCTCTTTTTTTTTCTCAATGGCAATGTGTGTTTGGCGTATATAATCCATTTTAAAAAAATAAATAAAAAGAGAGAGAATGAGGCTTCAGATTAGCTGATTTTTTATGTTTTTTTTTCATTCTGAATGTGTGAATCTTTGGTCTAGCCACACACACACACACACACACACATGAATGAAAATTCCATCGATCGATTTTTGCCATGCAGACTGAATAATATAACAACTACAGCAAGAATTTCTCATCCATCAGTAGACTGTGAATGAATTGTAAAGTGCGGACAATGACGATGTTTTGTGTAGCAAACTAAACGATTCAGTTGCCTTTCATATGTTTCAAATATTCTTTCATTGATGTTTCACATACAAACACACAAAGTTTGCGTGTTTTCTCGCAGTAGAACTGATGATCGACACAACATACAACATAACCGACATGATAAATGCTATTTTAATTGCTTGCTAATAGATTTTCGATGAAAAAACGGCTGTTTTTTTTTTGGTGTCTAAAAAAGAAATTCTTCATTGCATCATCATCATGTTTTTTTTTGGAAACATTTTCTCTGCATTGTGTTTTACTGCATAAATTTTTTTTTTTGGTCATGTTGCCCAAACAACTAACATCCACACACTTTTATTGTAGAATTATTTCTCGAAACACATATATATCGATAATAATAATGATCAATCAGTTTAATTTGATATTTGTTGGTTTGGTTGAGGAATTCAATCGAAAAGAAAAAAATTCAATAGTTGTGATTGTGTGTGTGTGTGTGTGTGTGTGTGTGTGAAATCCCAAGCTAATAATTATCATTAAATACAGTACATTTCAAGTTTTTATTTGTTGTTGTTGATGGTTAATGTTTGAAACCACTCATTCATCAATTCTATAGTTAATGTATTTTTTTTTTGGTGTGTTTTGATTAATAATGTTCATTGTTGTTGTTGTTGTTGTTGGTCTTTATAAATCGATTCATCATCATCATCATCTGAGAATTATGCAACCGAAAAATTTAACTCTTTTTCTCATTCAAAACAACAAATCTAAATGGACAAAACTAACTTAATTGTGCGATAGAATTAATTCATCATTTTGAATGAATGAATTTGGTCATTTCGTGTGTGTGTGTATTTTTTTTTTGGTTACAAAATTCAATGATTTCATTTCAAATTTTTTTTCCATCAGTTAGAACTTTGAACAAAATTTGTTTTTTTTTTATATCTCGATTTTCATTTGAATGATTTGTGTTTTTTTTCATCATGTTAGGTTGACATGACAATGTGTGACAATTTTTATAGGACACACAGACACATAAATTCCATTGGAAAAAAAATTGACATTACATTGAATTCTTTGTGCCTGTGTATCTGTGTGTGTGTAGGTTAGCAACTTTTCATAATATCGTATTGTATTGTTTGTAGCATAAAGTTTCATTTTAAAAAAAAATTTACTTTCAATACAAAATACACACATACACAACGTGATATCCTTATTTAATGGATGTGCTATGACATTGTACTCTTTGTTACTGCTGTATTCTTAAATCATCATCATCATCACTAAGACCATAATGATGATATCGGTGAACTACTACTTGACTACTACTACTGTTGTTGTTATTGTAAAATATCAAGAATTTTTTTTTCTTAACAAAAATGAAAAAAAAATTTTTTTCTTTTTTTTCATAGTTGAAAATTTCATTTTGTTCCAGGAGACATTATCAATATAGAGACACACACACACACGCTCACATTATAGTTGATGTTATTATTATTATTTTTTTCGACTAATAATAAAAATAAAGACAACCAACGAGAAACAACAGTTAGGTCGCTTCATTTATTATACAGTTGTGCAAAAAAAAAAAAAAAATTGACACGCTCGATTCACATTTATTTTCATTTTGATTTTTTTCTATATGAAAATTTCAAAAAAAAAAAAAAAAACATTCAAAACCTTTATAGTTTTCCGGAACAAAGTTTACAGGGTGTTATTTTTTTCCTGAAAAAATTTTCCTAATAAACTCCAAAAAAAATCATCATTGTCCACAAATATCAATTCATTCAACAGACAAAAAAAAAAAAAACAATGATGATCAATAAATGAAATTGAACTTTGATTAATTTTCACTTTTCGGTTATTGTCTTTTTAACGGGACCTATTCTAGATTAGTGAATCGTTTTTTTTTGTATTTTTGAGAATTTCTTTTTTTTTCATTTTTTCATTCCTTATTGTCAATTGCAATTGACAGAATTTCAATC